CCTTTGCAGGAATACTTACAATGTGTGAAGGAACTGGATAAAGAAGGCTTGGAAACTATCAGCTTTCAAACAGCCGCAGATCAAGCCAGACAGCTCATCAACTCCTGGGTTGAAAGTCAGACAAATGGTAAGAGCAAGCCAAGTATCAGCACAGGTATCTCCCCTTCTGCCACCATGTTTGAACAGCATATGAGAATGCCTAAATCAGGAGACAAATAAAACCCCAAAATCTCTTCCTCTGTTCCTTCTCCTGAGTAATAGATCAGTTCCTAGATACAGAACTGCCATTTAACTTTGTTGTTGTTGTTTTCCTCAGATACATCCCTTTTAGAGGACTCTCTGTATCTGTAGAGACTTTGTGGGTATTAGTACTTCCAGTCCTGATGAAAGGGATGGCACTAGAATACGCTTTGTACACACTGACATGTGGGTTGACACTAATATTAAGAATCTGGATATCCTTCGATCAGGGTGTTTTGCCTTCAAGCTTCCCAGAGTTGTTGTGTGCCTGTTGAGTAGGGCATGCACTCATAGGGAACTTGAGAAACCTGAAAAGGTGAAGGGCAATGGAAAACCACAGAGTTCAGGAATAGTACAAAGGTGTATGAAGTGCACAGAAAGAGGTATACCACAACTGGGATTTTCCCCCTACTGCATGTCCCTGGGGTTCCTCCATTCTTCCAGTCTCTTCCCAGCCTGCTCAAAACATTCCTTTTCCTCATGCTTGAAACACATGGCCTGAACAGTGAACACAGATAAAACATGCTGAATTTTAACTGAAATGAAATTATCCGTGATCACACAACGTCTGGTGTGGTCTGATACTTTGAAGGAGAAAACCAAGCCATGACTGAACTACTGGTGGAAAAAGATTAAAGGAGGATCTTTCTATGTGCATGAGGACTGCAGAATAAACAAGAAAAAAGTATAAGGAGAAAGCAGAGTCAAATTTCTGGTTTCCTTTCCTAGTACCTTCTTTATGTAGATATCTCCTCTCATCTTTGGTTTGAAGCAAGAAGTATTTATGTTTATGATTAGGTAGGAGACCATTCTGGGATGAAAGGTTCCAATGGTTCTTCCCAATGTCACAACATACACAGGTTGACTCATTTTGTAACAAGGAAATATCTGGGTCTTATATCTCTCATTGTGATTCCTTATAGGGAGGGAAACAACAGCTGTTGCCAATAGCAGTGAACAAATCAACCTTGGAAGTACAAGAAGATTACAGCTGCAAAACCAGAATGTCCCTGCCCTACACCCCCCTCCCCACAAGTTCTCTTAATACCCTAAATTTAATGTTGTGATTGCCAAGGAAGATGTTATACACAGATGTGTAATGTACATGTGTCCTCTTTTCCCATGCATTCTTAAAGGAATGATCAAAAATATCCTTCAACCAAGCTCTGTGAATTCCCAGACTGAAATGGTCCTTGTCAATGCCATTTACTTCAGAGGACTGTGGCAGAAAGCATTTAAGGATGAAGACACACAGGCAGTGCCTTTCAGAATTACTGAGGTACATGGGCATACATCACCTTAAAGGTGTCATCTTCTAGAATTTATGAAAACAGCAGACAATTTGCTGTATCATAAGTAAACATTTCTACACTTAAAGAATAATATTTGTGAAAACTATATTATCTTACTTGGTTTTGCAGCAAGAAAGCAAACCTGTGCAGATGATGCAACAGATTGGTTCATTTAAAGTGGCAGAGATAGCTTCTGAGAAAATGAAGATCCTGGAGCTTCCATATGCCAGCGGACAGCTGAGCATGTTGGTGCTGTTGCCTGATGATGTCTCTGGCCTGGAGAAGGTATGGCCCTGGTAGTTCGGCTTCAGAAAACCAGAAGCAGAGTGAAATTTAGATGCTGCAAAGCCCTTCGTATTATCTTAAAACACTTCACCAGCACAGATGCGAACACTTGCAACAAAAGACTGTTGCATAGAAGCACACAGCTCTCTCAGTGGTCCTGCAATAACCTGCCTGGATTGCTTAGGAAACTGCTTTAGTAGGTTAAATACTGGTTACTGCAGAAGAGATTTTTTTTCAGCTAAGCAGCTGTTACTCCAGCAGCTTGAGCTACAAAGGTTTTATATCTCCTTTCCTCTATACTGAGGACTTTCTGGGAAGTTCATGTTACCTTCAATAGTTGTAATTATTGTCTGTTTTGGCAGTGCTCATCATGGTTCCATCACACCTCCAAAAATCTGAAAACTGAATATGAGGGGCACTGGAATAGCTAAAGTAACTTCAGGATACAAAATGTACATTAAATGCTATTGTTGATATAAATAGAATACAGGCATAAGATATTGTCATTAGCAGAACTGTGGTGAACCTGAATCGGAAAAGTTATGTCATAACTAATCAAGAAAATTAATTGGCAGTGAGCATATTAAAGAAATAGAAAGCAGGACAGAGCAGAGCAGAGTCATAGTTTGCTTTCCTCTCCTAGATACATCAATCTGTAGATACCTAGAAAAAATGCCACGGCAATAGTGGTCAGTTTAAAAGAGAATAAAACCCAACCACTGGTACTGCCTTGCCACAAAGGAAGTTGTGCTCTCATTTGCTTTATCTCCTTGCAGCTTGAGTCTTCAATCACCGTTGAAAAACTCATAGAGTGGACCAGTTCTAATTTGACAGAAGAGAGGAATGTGAAAGTGTACCTCCCTCGCCTGAAGATTGAGGAAAAATATAACCTCACATCTGTCTTAGCGGCCTTGGGTATAACTGACCTCTTCAGCTCCTCAGCCAATCTCTCTGGCATCTCTACAGCAGAGAGCCTGAAGTTGTCTCGTGCTGTCCATGAGTCATTTGTGGAAATCCAGGAAGCAGGCCATGAGGTGGAAGGCCCAAAAGAAGCTGGGATAGAGGTTACAAGTGCCCTAGATGAGTTTAGGGTTGACCGCCCTTTCCTCTTCGTGACCAAGCACAACCCAACCAACAGCATCCTTTTCTTAGGCAGATGCTTGTCCCCATAAAGAGCAGAAAGCTGAAACAATTTCTGTCCCTCACAACAAGACCCAGAGCACTGCATTATCAAGGGTAGAAAGAAACACATAGTCTCCATTTTGTCTATAATTTATAAAACCAGAAGGCTTTACTTAACTTTGTTTTGTTCTGTTTTAAGTCAGAGAAATGATGCTGTGAAAACAGGGGCCCTTTGCCTTTCTTTTCTGCAGTGTAATATTGTTTGCTCATGTATGAAGAGTTAAGGGAAGGAAAATTGGACTCAAAGAAAGCACAAGCATTAACAGAGATGTTCCTTGTGCAAGTTAACAATAACAGCACCAAATCATCCCACTGAATAAACACAACCCCATTTATCAGCAGAAGTTTCATGAGAAAAAAGCCAGCCTTCTATTTAAGACAGGTTTCTCCAGGGTGACTCCTCTGGAATTAGTCACTCAAAGATCCCAGGTGAAACTCTAAACTGTCACCAACCATTCTTGCTCTGACAAGGAAACTGTTTTTTCTCTGTGCTCTTGATACTGCAAGGCTCTCCCTCAATTTCTAAAAATGCATGATAGAAGTATTATAATTGATATTTCTCCTTAAATCTTTTTGGGTCCCCAATATGGCATGTTAGTATTCAAATTATTTTCCATGTATCCATACGTAATGGGTCTTGTGGATGTACTGTTTCACTCCTTTAATCATAATAAAAACATGTTTAAGCAAAAGCATCTCATTTGGAGTGTTTCAAGTGCACCTGAGACAGGTAATCCCAGTTATACATACAAATTGGGGGATGAAAGGCTGGAGACCAGCCCTGTGGAAAGAGATCTGGGGTTTTGGGTTGATGACAAGTTGAATATGAGCCAGCAGTGTGTCCTGGCAGCCAAAAGGGCCAACTGTGTCGTGGGGTGCATCCAGCACAGCATAGCTCACCAGTCAAGGGAGGTGTCTGTCCCACTCTGCACTGCACTGGTGTGATCCCACCTCCAGTACTGCGTGCACTTTTGGGCTTCTCAACATCAGAAGGTCATAAAAGCTATTAGACTGTGGCCAACGGCAGGTGAGTAAGATGGTGAAAGGCCTCAAGGGCAAGATTTACAAGGAGCAGCTGAGGTCACTTGGTTTGTTCAGCCTGGAGAAGAGAAGGCTAAGGGGTGACCCCATGGCAGTCTATAACTTCCTCAAGGGGGGCAGCAGAGGGAGAGGTGCTGATCTCCTCTCTCTGGTGACCAGAGATAGAATACAAGGAAATAGAATGAAGCTGTGTCAGCGGAAGTTAAAATTTTGCATTATAAAAACGTTCCTCACTGAGAGGGTCGTTGCTCACTGGAACAGGCTGCCCAGAGCGGTGGTCAAGGCACCAAGCCTGCCAGAGTTCAAGAAGCAGCCGGATGATGCTCTTAGCCATACAGTTTAGTTTCAGGTAGTCCTGTGAGGAGCAGGGAGGGAACTTCCAACTTGAGATATTCTATGAATCTATGACTGTTTCTGCAGAGTTAGTTCATTGCTTACAGAGAGATGAGGAATTAGAGTGTGTCCTAACTCTGGGCTAAGATACAATATTGAGACCAATTTCCTGCCAGGGACCAGGATGACCTATAATCCCCCACACACACAACTCAAATGAGTCAGACATAACTCTTTCAGCACAAACCATGATTCATCCAATCTCTTTGAAACAGGAGTTGAGAAGCAGTTTGGAAGGCAGCTAGATATGTGCAGAATCTGCATCTTACTGAGACAAGAACACTACCTCAGCCAACACATGGGAATGAGAAATGGAATGGAGCTTTCTAGTTATTTTTGTCGTGTATTCAGAAAGCTTTATAGGCTCTTACTTTGTAAATAAAGAGGATAATCATGCTAAAAAAAAGCAATGTCTGTGACAAGTTACAGTTTTCATCCGTAATGAATTTTTCTTCCCTTTGTCACTGAAACAAGAAATGAAGCAGACCCGTGAAGAACTGCCACAGAGAAGTACCAGAAGAGTGAAAGAGAAGGGTTTGGGAGGTTGTGTGAAGTTACTGCAAGAAAGCAATACTCTTTCCTGACTTCAGTATGCACAGCATAGCACCAGTGCTGGGTGGTTTGTGGTGATATGTTTTTCCAGTTCTACCACACAGTATTTTATTTCTTCTGCTAGTTTTCGCTACTTCCTCCTGCCCTGCCTCACCCGCCCTCAAGATAAAACATACTTTGGCAGTTCCCAGGGGGCATAACTTCCTAGCAGCAAGCATGATCTTGTAGAAGAAGGAAGATAAACATGACACCACCACCTTCGCTGTTGATCTGGTCGTGGAAATAGGGCACCTACAATCCCTGGGGCATTTATTTTTGAGCAGATTTGTTCTAAAACTACACAATTTCTAGGCCATTGTAGTTCTTATAAATTAAAACATACTTCTTTACAAACAGACGATTCAAAGAAGTATGTCTGTTCCTGCATGTAAACACATAAATTCAGCACTGCCTCCTGATTTCTGCCAACTTCTGCCAGCACAGCAACAGGCAGACATATTCTTGTCCCCAGTAGTCACTTCCTTAACATTCTCAGCCCTATGTTTTCAGAGACTGAAAACTTTGAAACTATTTTGGGATTTGTAAATCACACATTCACTGAGTAAAGAGTGCCAGCATCTCCAAACCTCAGGCAGAAGTATTTGTCTAACAGTTAAAAACACAAGCAGCCTTCCACACTTGAGGCACTGTAGCTTCTGTAATAACTGGTATATAAAATACAGGCCTGGATGCAGCCCCAGGCTGGGTGACGGATATCACACCTCTGTCCTGCAGCATGGAACAAGTCCTCTATTTTATGCCAAGAGAGGATGTTACAGCTTTCTCTCTCCTTCTCCAAAGAAGCAAAACAGTCAGCTCATCCCAGAGGCTTTGACTCTCTGCTGTGTCATGAAGTACAGCTAGATCACCCTCTCATTTATCCCCAGTATTTCCTTCATCACAAGTATGGAAGAAGGCTTTAGGACCTACCACAAGAGGCTTTTACTGCTCTCCCACCACACTCCATATGTATTTGTAATTTCACACCTGCAAAGAGAAACAATTAATTCAAAGGATTAGTGAGTTGCACATACACAAAACCACACTTGTTCACCTGCCTGTTAAGTCTTGCAGCAGGAAGGTAATTAATGAAATTAATTTCCATAGAGATGACAGAATTTGACGCTGGGTCTTTATTGTTTATTCTGGTCCTAATTCTTCAGATAAATAAGAATGGAAGTAGGATTGCTCACTTGAAAAAAAATCAGTTATTTGCAAAAAAAAAAAAGTCTCCTGAAGTTCACAGAATTAGAGGGTAACCTGCGTCGGAAAGGGCAGCTGACAGTCATCTGGCCTTCAGAGATACACCAGGTTGCTCAGGGCTGTTTCTATTCAAATGCTGCAGAGCTTTAAGGCTGGAGAATCCACAACCTTCTGATTAATTTAATTTTAAACGTAAATCCAAATCTCACTAATGTACAAGTATTGCAAGTAATTCAGACAGCGTAGCTTTCTCTCATCAAATGGGGATTGGCCACAGGTTCCTTCATTTTGACTCTCCCATGGTCATCCCACAAAGCCCTTACTGTCTCTTCTCACTTTTAACCCTCTGAACCAAAGTCTACAGAATAGCTCTGCAAATCCTAAGCAGTGCTTAGTCCCCATATGAACAGCAAATTCCTACAACGCTTAGGTGCAAAGGTGAGATAATATCTAAAAAGGTGTAGCTTCATGCTATATATATTTTTTTAGCCTCAGTAGCAAAATTTATACTTTGTCTCCATTTTGCTGTATGTGTATATCAGTGTGCTATCATTTGTACCTGACCTCCCTTTCCATGCTGTTATACTCTTAAAATATCACAAGACTATTATACCCTGCAGTCTAACTGCCTTGTGACATGACCAAGCACTCACAATTGCATACTACTCCTTTCAAACTAATGTTGAGCTTTTATTTTTTGAAGTCATACAGCACCTTCTGACTTTTTCTAAATGTTAGCAATAGCAACTCACAGTCCAAAATCAATGTGGGCAAACAATGAGCTTCTATTAGTGGCACCTTACAAATGACAGAAACTGGATCCTGGAGGTGATCAAATTTTTACAGTAGAAGGCTGACTTCTTAGTTACACAGGTAAAATTTCAATGCTGTGGCTCTGATAAGAGGTCAATATGGAGCAGAAGAATAATGTCAGATGAGTTTCTGTAAGGAAGGTAGAGATACAGGAATTAAACGTGAAAAAAGGGGTAGAGGAAGAATCATTAAGCTTCACAGGGCTGTGTGTAAAAGCAGTTCCTCTTTCCTTTTCCATCTTTTCTGTCATTCTGCCTCATTTCCCTTGGGCACAATGCATTGCTCTCCAGTAACTCCCTTTCCCCAAGGCTCTGATCACCCCACCCTCACCTTGACTGCCTTTATCCTCCTTGCTCTTCAGCAATCTCTACCTACTTGTCAGGGCAGTGAGGGAAAAGGGCAGGGCTGGGGTCAAGCCTTGATTCTAAGAGAAGAAATATCATGAAGAGGAAGATTTGGGACTAAGGAAGAAAGTAGGAGGAGAGGACTGCCACTCCTACTGCCTAGAGGGATCATCCACCATGCAATAAGGCTGTGTCAGCTACTGAGTCTAAGCTGCACCTGCAAGAGGTGGGGTGAGGGCCCATTCTTCTAGCCACAGAGTGCAAGTGCTCTGCCTCTCCCTACATATGCTCTGCTGACTCTTCTTGGCCTGATGTTGCCGCTGTACCCCTGAGTACACATTAGTCTTCTTCTATGGCTTGGTCTGTCTATGTTCCCAAACAAGGAATTAACAACCACAGGTAAGGGATATTAAGAAAGCCTCAGAAGATATAGCCAAGGCTCTAGAAAATGAAGGGAGATAAACCAAGAAAGAAGGAAAGTCTAAAGCAGCTGAAAGGGTCAATAACAGTTTTAAGGGAGAGTTCTGCTTTTGGACTTGAAAGAGCTAAAAGAGCCACAAATACCAATCTGAAAGACAATGGAGCCATGAAGATCTGCATACAGCTGAATCACAACTGGAAAGGGTTGCTTCAAAGACCTTGGAAATGCTTTGTTAAAGAAGAGCAGGTGATCACCAGGAAATTTTAGAAGAAGGTCCTCAGTGCAATAAAATGCAAGTTCACACTCTCACAAAAACTTGAAGAACAAAATATTTTGTCTGAGAGCAGAAAGGAATATGAGATCATCTTGTCTTACTTTTCACATATCACATAATTAATTTTGGCATGGTCACTGCTATTAAAAGCTTGCTAACTTGTACCAAGTAGAAAGATGTCAGGTCAAGAGACTGAGTTCCTTTATGTAACAGGCAGAGGATGTGAGATGAGGAAAGATGAAAAATCTTGCAATGATAAAACATTGGTAAGACACTTTCAAGTGATGCTAATGACACTCCAGCTCATCCAAGGTCCTTGTTGGTCTGATGAGGAATTTCCATTCCAAGTGCCCTTTTTGGGCTTATTCTCTCCCAGGACAAAGGCTTACTGTCTTTCTGTGTGCACTTAACAAGATAGTTCAGATCATTCTGAAGGGTAGCCTAAAAACTATGAAACTATGAGGGGCCAGCAGGTGTCAAGTAGGTCAGCAAATAGCTAAAATTTCCAGTACGCTTCCACAAGAGGGTATTGGGAAAATTATCCCCAAAAAACTTCTGAAAATAACACGTGCCTTGTGAAATCCCTTGTCATTCCACAAGGCAAGAATATTTGCAGTTGAGCTCTATGAAAAAAACATTAAAAGTTTAAAGTTTTTTTTAAAAGAGAGTCCTTCCTCTATACCCTGCTCTTGCACATCAGCACAAGGTTCCTGTTAAGGATACACTCATTTAGAAATGTGTTTTGAAGATGTATTGATTTGATATCCACATTCTTTGTTCCGCAGTGTGGCACATCTTGCTCTGTAGCACTACAGCGTGGGAAACTCCCATTAGCACGAGGCAGGGATCACCTTTCTGATTCAGTAGTTGTCCAGTTGACGTACAGTTACACCCTTTGACAGATTCCCTCGGAAAAGTGACAAGTTTCGGATAAAGCACACACAAGCCATGTACACACCTTTACTCATAAGGCAGCACTGTGCATCATGATTGAGAAATTCGGGACATTCTTCATATTTTTGATGGCAACTGCTGTTTGGGATACTTTAAAATGCCCACTGCCTGAGTCACTCAAAGGAAAACTGCACCCTTGCACATCTGAAAACCATGTGCATATTTATTAACAGATCAACCATCTCTTTCACATAGAGAGATCAGCCTTTCCTCAGAAGTGCTGCACTTCTAAATAGAGCTGAATTTCTCAGGACAAACACTATCTTTGTTAATTACAGTGTCTAAGCCAAGGTATGTAGAAGTAATAGCAAAGTATGATGAATTGTGCGAGTACTGTCAAATTCCACCACACCTTTACTTTCTGCAGGCGTGGAGCAAAATGCCTCAATAATACTTATGCAGGTACCTCACCACACCCGCTGGCAACTCATAAGGTTTTAACTACTGTCAGACTATGTCAGCAAGGATTGCTTGGCAAAGGAAGACTTGCAAACTTACTTGTAGGAGGTACACAAGAGATAGCTATCTACTGTTACAAAATAGAGACACGTGTATTCTCAACCAAACCTTTAAAGGGAAAAAAAGATACCCACATATACCTCTCTTAAACTTAAAAACTATTTGAGATTTCAGGATGATGCAAACTTACTTTACATAAAAATCCACTACAGTACAAACCAAAATCTGTTATATCTAGGTGATGTATATTAATTTGTTTTTTGTTTTTGTTTTTTTTTAGTTGACAAGGTTAGAGAAAGCTTTCAATTACACTATGACAGAAGCATCACCCAGAAAAGACTCCGCCTTAACATAGAAAAGTTTATGTATTTAGTCACTCAGCACCCTTACTATTTTCTCAGTTGCTGTGCCCTTGCCCTCCTTCCAGTTTTCACCTTAAAATGACACAGATTTTTAAAAAATCACATCACAGCTCTAAAGGGATTAAAATATTCTCTGACTGGAAAATTCTTCTGTTCTCCATGCCTCTTCTATCTCCTGGTGTCCTTTTAAATGTCTGGGGACATTTAAAATCCTTTCATGTTTAAAATTTACTGGTCTGCTCTGGATGAGACAAAAACTTGAATAGAGTGCTTTGCTGGCTGAACCACAGATTCTTCCCTCCCAAGTAAATAATGACCTTATACCGGTAAGAAAATATTTATGATGTCAGGGAAACTGAACAGCTTTCCTTTCAACATATCTTTTTCTTTTGATCTACCTGAAATATAGAACATGTTAGTTTTGAATTAAATCAGATTTCCAAGAGCTGTACAGAGTTAATAGCTAAAACAACCTATTGATGAACATGATACTCAGCCATGGAAAGCTGTATCCTAAATACTGTGTGAAAGCAGAAGTTGGCATCTTCCTGCGTCTTCCCCACAAGAGCCTTCACAGAGCACTTTATAATGTTCTGTTTAGATATCAAGAATTTCACCTACTTCTGAATCCAGGTGCCAATGTACAGAGCAACACACCGTAGGAAAGTCACAGTGACTTGTGCTAAGTAACACTGAAACTGGAGGAAAACAAAATGCACTTATATAGCTGAGGTCTGGCCAGGCCACTGATGTCCTGCCAATATTTGTGCTGACCAAACAGGAACATGAATGACTACACTGAAAGAGCCCACAAGTTTACTTCTCACAGGAAGACATATTAATACAAATATAACCCTTCTAGTGTGCTGCTGTGTTGACTTAGTATAGAGTGGGAGGGAGAGCACCACTGCTATTGAGTCAGCAGAAGCACCACCCATTGTGCTGTGTTCTCTGGCAGTGCTAAATTAAAAGGATATTGGAAAACATTATCAATCCATCACGTTGGTTTAGCATATGTTGTCCTTTGAGATGGGTATAATTTTAGTTACTAGGTGTGTGTGTGTGGGGTTTGTTATGGTTTGGTGGTGGGTTTTTTGTTGTTTGTTTGTTTTTTGTTTGTTTGGTTTGGTCTTTTTTTGCTAATGACCAGCCATGTCAAGAGGTGCTTTAAAAAGGTAACTTTAAAACCTTGCACAAAGGCACAAGCCAGCATTTCCACATAAACAGAACACCTCAGCCACTTCTTCAAGCAGCAAGTGTCATTACAAGTTAGCAAATTAAATTCACCTCTACTTTAAAACCAGAAAATCCACAGTAATTGCTTCAAGGAACATAGTCTATTCAGTGTATCTATCACTCATTCAACAACATGACTACATTTGCAATTATTCAAATCATTTAGGCTTTTGGAAATCACTTAAGGCAAATGTAAACAGATTAAAACTTTCCCAGCCATAATAGAAACTATTAATTCTGCAGTGAACACCTCCCTACAGTATGCTGCTCTCTGGGAAGACAGAAAAGATGCATCTAATTACAGTTCACATTGAAACATGCTGGTTTTGTGTAGCTACAATTTAAAAAGGTCTGAGGGGCAGGAAAACACCATCTGATTAAAGTAATGAGGTTACTCACAAGAAGAAAAGCAGCTTTAACAAGCGTTCAGTTCCCAAATTATACCCATGCAGAAGGTTCACCACTAGCAAGGGATCCTTTCCAGCTGCGTCTTCCAATGCCTTACACCACATTTTACATGTACTCCTATGGCTCAGTCCTCATTACAGGATCTTCTATGCCAGCCCTTGATCAGCAATGTAAGCCCATTTAAATATATGCTCATAGACAGCAGTCCAGAAGAAAGCTCTCAGAAAGAGCTGATGAAGAGGAGATAGACCTTGTGCATGAGTCTGGCTCAGCATCAAGGAGGCGGCCCTGGAGAGGTAAGCAGCTCCTATCCAGGTTTTCAAGGTGTTATTATCAACAGTGCAGAGAAGTGAAGGATGAAATAAAGGGCCAGGGAAGGACTACACAGGGTATTACAGTTAGGGATCATAGTGGGATGAACAGCTACAAAAGGACAACAGAGAAAAGGGCAACATGACTGTAAGGAAAATCAGGGGCAGAGGTATTTTAGTAGCCAAGGCCAGAAGGAAAAGAGGATTTGGCAGAATATTCATTTCTGGAATGGTAAATAAGGAACAGACCTCTGAGGTGCTACACTGGTCAAACAGCAGCTTTCAGATTTGGGTGAAGAAATAGAAGCAGAAGAAAAATTAAATCTAAGCTATGACCCACAGTGATGTCATCACTGATAAGAAAACCAAGGGTCTGGTGCCTGCTTCTCAACCTTCACTGTCCTACAGTGACATTTCCTTTGGTGCAGACTCAGAATTCTCCAAGATAAACAAAATCCATTTTTCTAAAACAGAAACCCACTAGGGGTGACAAATACTTTCTCAGTAGGAAATAGACAATAGAAAAACTCACACATAAGAAGACACTATTTTTTCTCTGTCTGTCTAGTCCTCAGAAATAATTTCTGTTACACGAATCATAAAAGCAGGTCAGCAACTGTGTGTTTTTTTAAAACACTCCAAACCGCAAAATGAAGGCTGTTTAAAGTTGTGTGGCTTCAAGTTGTTACTAACCTGTTGCCACAAAAATGTTTATAGAAATACTTGTGCAGTTAGTTTTGTAAGGTTCTTGTATAGTATCACCATCACTTCACATCCTACTCTGAGGTGATTCAGTTCTTCCACTGGGATGTGGCCTTCAGGGCATAACAAATTGCATAGTCATGAGTCATAAGAACCTTTGCAGAACTGGCCAGGCACACTATAAATTCACCCCTGTGTTCATGTGAACTGCAGAAACCTCGGAGACATCCAGAGCACCAGCGTTCCTCCCTGCACAAGACCAGGTACTGTAATGATATTTAGAGATTATTTATTTCATATACTCTTGGATGATACCACTTTGTTGACAACTGGATAGGAAAAAAGGAAGAAGAGATCTGAATTGGAAACAACAAATGGTTGGGAAAATAATTTACTAAGATGGCACAGGCATGGTGTAGAAAGTGGAAGTCTTAAAAATATACAGGAAGAGTAATGTATTGTACAGAGTTTTTTAATTTCTAAAGGTTAGCATATATAGCATAAAGGCTAGCATATATATATAGCAGTGTAAGAACCACTGTATTTGCTTAAGTCATCTAATTTGTTCTTGTGCTCTTCCATTCTTACAAACATTGGGTCAGCTCCTGGTTTGCAAGCTGCTCAGGACTTGGATTGTCTTTATTCTAAGGTCATTCTCTAACAACTGGAATAGCTCCTAGCCCCTGCAATACAAATGACAATTTGCAGCATTTTTGGTCTACTGAATATGGAAACGTTGTCTTGCAGGAGAACTGAGAAACTAGGATCTTATAGCTAGTACTGTAAGACAGAGTTTCAGGATGTTTTTGAAAGTCAGAAAGGGAATTCAAGATGCTGAGCATGCAATAGTTGGGGTGGTTGCCCAAGCATTGGAAGAAGCATTTTGTCTTGTCCTAAAAGTATAATTTGACCTTTGCTGTTACCAGGGTATTTGTTCACTACTGTTATATGCATCAATAGTCTCTTGCAAAAATTGAAGTATAAAAGATGTCATAGGTGACAGTCTCTCAGTACCCTCTAGCCTGGGTGCTGGTGAACATTATCAACTGTCACTCCAAGGACAATGCAATAAAGGTACTGGTGAACCAATAAAAACAAGGCTGGAGGTTGCTTCTTCCCTAACCCAAATGATAGCTAGTGTCATCAGTGAAACAAGACATGCTATACTTTATGTCACTTTGTAATAGTTAATCCCCCTCATTCTTCATATAGATAATTACTTTTAGAAATCCTTTGTATCACAAAAGAAACTCCAAAAACTGCAGTGAAACTTGCAGACACATAGCAGTCATAATTCATCGTTCATTAATAGAATCTTCTCTCCCTTTCTGTGCAGGTTCAGCACAATGGAAACTTTGAATAAAGCAAACACGAGCTTTGCTCTCGACTTTTTTAAACATGAGTGTCAGGAAGATGGCGACAAGAATATTTTGTTCTCCCCTTTGAGTATTTCATCTGCCCTGGCCACTGTTTACTTGGGAGCCAAAGGTAACACCGCAGATCAGATGGCAAAGGTGAGTCTGGGCCTCCAAAACCACTGCCTGAAAGGGTTGATCTCTTGGAATAACAGCCTCTATGCAATAAATTTATTGTGAGGGAACAGAGGAAAGTCAAAAGAAAAGAAAAACAACACTCTAATAAAAAATCTAAATACATATATGCCAGCACATTTCACCCCTGGTGTGTACTGCAATGAATATACCAGATCTCCACTTGTGCAGGTCAAAGAAATAGTTTGCTTTAGCCTCTGGAAACAGGACCCCAACAAATAAAGAAGTGGCACTGGTGACATTGTCTCCATTTAAATCTCACCAGCAGAAATAAAGGATGTTACATGAGAGTTTTGCCCTGCAACCCTCAGCTCAGTATGCTCATGTAATTCTGTAGACATGGGCCTCAAGGCCTAACAAAATATTTCATATTCAGTCAGGACTGGACACAAGAACAGAATCTGAGCATGACTTTCTTTATCTCCAGCACTGTGACATCACTGAAAGATTTTATTGAAAAAGCAATTTTCCTGTTATTGCATTTATTATTGTTTTTTTTCCACTATAGGTACTTCACTTTAACAAAGTTGAAGAGGCCAGAAACATCACCACAACCATAAAAATGCAGGTCTACTCCATAACACGAGAGCGTGTATCAAATGGACGTGCCTGTTTCCAGAAGGTATCTCACCAAGCCTAGTGATAAAGCTATGGGCATGGTTACATCTTCTCTTGCTTGTATTTTCCTTCCACATTTGCATTTCTCTATGTTTGCCTTCTTCAAAGGTAGTGTACACAATTAATTGGTACAGCATCCTGTGATAACTTCATCTAATGCAACACTTACCACATGCTTCCCCTTTTTAGGCAGAATTGCAAAAACTAACCTCAAATTTGCAAAATTTGAGATTTAATGTTACCATTCTCTGTCACTGTATCTCTTGATCTTTTTTCTTTAGAACTGAGGAAACATTTATTTCTCAAGTTATTACTGTTCAATAACTAGTTATTTGGCAAATCACATTCTTTGGACAGACACAGTCCCTACCTCAGGGTGCTAATCACAAGAACAGAGCTTCCCTCCTACACAATTTATTGCAGCATCAGGACAACAAAAAGCAGAGTATTAACTTTTCCAGACCTATGCTTCGTAAACTACCTTCTTCAGAGATTAGTCTCCATTTCAGTTGACTAGCTAACAAAATTAATTGATATGTTGGAATTTCCCAAGGCAGATCAGTTGCCTGCAATAAATCATTGTAGTTCTGAAATATTTCTTTGACATACTGGCAGGAATCCTGTACAAAAAGCATACATAATTTAAGACAGCAGAAAGAGAAATGTAACCTCTCTGAGTCAGTAAAGGCAGGTTTTCCTCATTGACAATTCAACCATTTTGGCTTCAAGCTCTTCTCCCTGCTCTTTCCTGTCATCCTTATACTTTGTGGGAGTGAGCCATTTCCCTGCAGGCTGCCCACAAAGCCCTAGTGGCCACAAAGTCTGATGAATGGGAACTTGGACCTGCATTCCACAGCCAAATCCCATGGCAGGAAGATTTATTTTAGGGGCTACGTCAACAACCCATTTACACTGCATGAACAGGAGAGGGATTGTTCCCCATGAGTAATGCTTGTCTGAATTTTTAAAACTGCAGAGTGCTGTGGGTAGGGGAAAGGAATTGTTCTAACAGCTTAGAAATTTAAGTGTTTGTTCATGTCTCTGATTCTGATAATATTAACATCAAGAGCAAGATTAAGAAATGTAGGGGCAAGCTTTCCCTGTAACACACTCGTATTTCATAAATGAAAGTCGTCACTCAACCAAATCTTCAGGCATTATTTAGTAACTACATTCTGTCTCACTCTCTGGATATACTTAATTTCATTATTGCCGCTTAGAAACCTCTAGATGTTTTACGTAGTTCAGGCTCTTCCCCCTTGCATTCTGAGACTCACAGTGTCTATACCATGTCTGAAACTTTTATTACTTTCAAATTATTCTTTTAATAGCTGCCTGATTTAGAACACCTTTTGCGTTGCAATACAGGTAACAGAACACCTCAGTAGAAATACTTCACATGGAGCTGCATGAAGAAAGAAATCAGAAAATCTGAACTATTTTACACAACAGATTGGTAACTTTTTTTTTCCTTTCTCCAAGACAGAAATTGGCAAATCGGACAATATCCATACTGGGTTCAAAGCACTCAACTTTGAAATCAACCAACCCACTCAAAATTACCTACTTAAAAGTGTCAACCAGTTATTTGGAGAAAAAACATTGCCTTTCAGTAAGGTAGGCAGGCCATTTGTTCTGATTAAGTAGTGCCATTTAACCTTTGTGATTTATCGACGACAACATACCATAAACTATATGCTTCTAAACATTTCAATTACATCTGCAAATCCTGTTTTTATCCTTAACATACATATTTTCTATGAGACTCATCTAAACACTTTGGACACTAAAATTTTAGTTTGATGGGATAGGTATCTACTTTTAGAGCGATGTGGTTAAGTGCAAACTTTTAAATTGAGTATTTCCACTAAAAATACTTTGCTCCTTAGACAAAATACTGTGCTTTTAGTTTATATAATTTTCATCATGCTTTCTCTCTGCTTAGCTGTAGTTGTTTATTGGTATTCATATTGGCAGGCAACAAACATAAGATGGCTGTCTCTCTTGCATTGCAGGATTACTTACAGTTAGCCAAGAAATATTATAATGCGGAGCCACAATCAGTTGACTTTGTGGGAGCAGCAGAGGAAGTCAGAAAAGAGATCAACTCCAGGGTTGAACATCAGACTGAAGGTAAGTTCCAGCCTCTCCTCTCCCAATTCAAAAAGAAGCCATTTCAGCATTAAACAAGTCTCTGGATCCAAGGGGCCCAAGGCAGGCAAATAATTCAACTCAGAAAGGTAAATCAGATCAGTTTTCCTAAATTAGTCATCTACAGATAAGCCCTTACTAAAATTAGTGTCCTCCATCTGAACACAGGAGGAATGCGGCTTGTTATTCTTTGTAAATTAAGAGTACCCCAGTAACAACATTTTTTTTTTCCAATGATCTCAAGCTAGATGCATGCTCTATCAGCACTTACAATTCCTCTGATTTTTATCTGCATAAATTGTGCCAACACTTACTCTGAAACAGTAAAAGTGCACAAATGTGTAAATGTCCTTCTGTTTCCTCTAGGTAAAATCCAAAATCTGCTGCCTCCTGGATCCGTAGATTCGCTCACCAGATTAGTTCTGACAAACGCCCTCTACTTCAAAGGAAACTGGGCAACAAAGTTTGAAGCTGAAGCTACCAGGCAAAGGCCTTTCAGAATAAACACGGTATGGGAATGCACTGACCTACATCTTAGACTGCAGGTAGAAAAAGCAGTGAAAAAGATTAGGAAGAGGATTTCCTGTCAGTCCTTAAATCCACATTAAATCCAGAATGGAAGTTATTTCATTTCATGCATACAATATATTTTCTTCACCACATCTTCAGCAAAAAGACTGCACACACATATTAGTAAACTGAGCTTCAAGTAAAATTGTCAGAAGCTGACTTGAAACAAGTTTCCATTCTCTGAAGACAGGAAAAAAAAAGGAGCTGAACAAAAACTGTATGGGCTAGTTTTTACATTTTCAGTTTTAACACAGCTTCCTATAATAGGTGCAATCTGAGACAGCCTGCTTAGCCTCCAAGTGCCTTTCCAGAAGACCAGTGGTCCCTTGTAGATCCTGTGTCCTATCACTTAGAGCCATAAAGATGTCTCAGACTTACTGGGCAGCTTGTAGAGTAATTACAATGAACCTCCACTGTGTTACTTTAATCCAGTCCTTTACTGTTCACTCAAAGTACAAATGGCAACCATCTAATTTTATTTGTTGCAGCATACAACTAAACCAGTGCCAATGATGCACCTGAGTGATAAATTTAACTGGACCTACATAGAATCAGTCCAGACTGACGTTCTTGAACTTCCATATGTCGATAATGACCTCAGCATGTTTGTCCTGTTACCAAGTCACATCACTGGCCTACAAAAGGTAAAACAACTGAGAACTTGGGAAATCATGTAAAGAACAATGATGTAATTATTTACTTACTTCATGCATGTCCATAGTAAAAGACCAGGTTGCAGTCATGTTTCTAGGAAGGAGGGTACTGATCAGGCTCAAGGAAAAGTGAACCTCAAACTTGGCCTAGCACTATGAACGTATGTCTTCGAGCTCAGACTAGATTTCTTACTCTTGGCAGCTGACACTTCTGTGGTTCCTAAGGTTGATCAGTCCTGGAAATAGGTACCTCAAACCTCACAAGACTAACTCTTCAGCCAGCTAAGCAAAAATGAGGGCAGAAAGTCAGCCCTGGTGATATTCACTGTCTGTACCGATTCAGACAATATGATTTAATTCCAAAAAACAACAAAAAAAGCATAAATTGGACAGCCTCCATTCCTTTCCAGGACGCACGTAGCTAATATATATGGACACTGCCACCTACTGTAAAGAGACTGATCCTGCCTTTGGATACTAAACTTCTAAATCCTCCTTTATATTAGTGGGTGTTCCATAAAAAAAAAAAAAAAAAAAGAAGCAAATCACACAAACTATCATTACTTGACAGAGATGTTTTTGTTCTACAACTACTTAACCCTGATAAATTTCCTAGCAACTACTGAGAACATTTTAAATACTGTATTGACCTATTGCAGAGCAGTACACTCCTTTCTAGTGGAAAAGATCTCCAAATTGCTCTTTTGCTACTGTGTTTTTGTACTCTTGCAGCAGCTTGGAAAGTTGAAAGAAATAGCTGCTAGGGCACAGCTTTTGAACACACTGTAATTTTCTGATTCCTTCTTTACTAACTGCAGCTAGAAAGAGAACTGACTTTGGAAAACCTGTCTGCATGGACCAGCCCAGAATTAATGGAGAAAATGAAAACAGAAGTTTATCTGCCCAGGTTCACATTAGAAGAGAAATACGATCTCAAAACTACATTGAGCAAGATGGGGATACAAGATGCCTTCATTGAAGGTCAAGCTGATTTCACAGGAATGTCACAGAATGGTGACTTGTTTTTGTCACAAGTCTTTCACAAGTGTTATCTGGAAGTCAATGAAGAAGGCACAGAGGCTGCAGCTGCCAGTTCAGCAACACTGGCATCCCGAAGTCTTGGTGCTGCAGTTATTTTTGCGGCAGATCACCCTTTCCTCTTCTTTATCAGGCACAACAAGACCAAGAGCATCCTCTTCTTGGGAAGGTTCTCTTCCCCCTAGAAACCTGACTATTACTAAATAGGCTCTTGCAACAACAATAATGAACAAGATGCACATAACAAAGGGCATCACAACAGTTTGTGCACTTCTTAATTTTTCTGTACTGTTGACAAAACTCTCAATGTTAGAAGAGAGTACATATTAAAAATAACTTGGAATTCTTGCCTTTGGGTCATTTTTCTGCCCAAAGAACCCAAAAATGGTAGCACTATAAGTACCAAACTGTGCACAGAATAACACTGACGTCTCTGTTCAGTGCTTTCTGAACCAGAACTACCACAATGCAGAACAGACAAAGATGATCTAAAACAGTAACTCCCAACACACTTGCTTTGGTACATAAGAAGAAAAGCAACAGGAAAAAACTCCTTCCTGCGAAATGGTACCTCATCTCTATTGGCTTCAACTCACTAAGCTGGTCATCCCAGGACCGCTACCTCACCTACATGCTTGTCAGTTTTATAAAAACTTTGCAGCATGGCACAGCTGGTAATGAAATAAACCTGCAAAATTCTCTGAGTTCCAGATACTGGTGCTTCTTTCTTGCATGCAAAAGGGCTAATACATGTACTTCCTAATTTCTGCTCCACAGCTATTGTAGAAAAAATGGAAAATATTGAAAATATTGGAAAATATTGAACAGCACTATAGAACTGGAGGAAAATAAGTCACATGTGCCTTGAAACATTCTTCTTTGTAATCTTTCATGCATTCAACACTGTTGGCAGTTCAGAACTGAACCATTTTACTCTTATTTTGCTTTGTCACTTATTTCATTGGTTTGAGGTAGGATCAAACTGGAAAAGTGCCTTCTTGATTACATGCAAATCTGCCAGTAAATGTTTACTCCTGTCACAGGTTTTGTCCCTAAGAAGGAGGGTGTTCTAATCAGTCGTGTACACTTGCAAGGGTTACTCCTAACTCTCTGAATTCATAACAGAGCAAAGGACAAGGTCTATTAAAGGACCTGCACATGCCACCAGCATCTTACTAGGAATATCTCTTCTTGGGATGGTAGGACTCCTTTTTCCTGACAGAGAAGTGATTGTTGACTGTCACTGAGTCCTTTCTGTTTTATTCTGTTTGACCAGCTGTTTCCAGAGTCCCTCTGGCTCTGCTTCCTTTGTGGGAAGGAGCATAAGAAAAGTGTTGTAAGGCAAATGTTGTATTGTATCCCCATACAACTTCAACAGCACTGTCTTCTGTCTGAATTACCTGTGAAACATGACACAGGATTCCTGTGCATTCAGGTGCAATTCTGCCATGCCCTGTTTCACCTAATGCAACAGTTTCAGGTCCCCGTGGCCAAGCCCTATAAGTACTTCTTGATGTGCCTCAGGAATAAAGACAAGAAAGCTATGCCTAGGAGGCCAACGATGAGCAAAACCATGGCAACATGCATCCAAACTCACTTACAGGTCTTAGAAGTCAATAGAAATATCAGTCACCTTTTCTCTCTCCTTCAACTATTTGCATGATTGCAAAGATGACAGAGTCAATGTCCTTTTGGCAGTACCAATAGCCACAAAGCTTGGAGAGTGAGTTGCATATTAGGGAACAACCTTTCCGTAGAGTGAGCAGTACAGCATTGGAGAAGGTTGTCCAGAAAAGGCTGGAGAATCTCTACTCCTGGAAGGGTTGTGGCTGACTTTATCTACCAATGGCCTTGCTTCAAACAGAAGGTTGACCCTTGGAGGTCCCTTTCAATTAACATGTGTGATTCTCTCACTTATCAACACCTGTTCTCTCTTGACACTTCCCTTTCTCATCCTGCTGGCATTCTTGCATCTTGACTAGCAAAGGCAGCTAGACAGCTCCCTCTCAGCATACTTCTTTACACTTGGAACCTCCTGGCCTGGGCTTTCTCACCACCTAATCATTCAGCTGACCTTTTGCTATCCTTATTTCTTGATGACTTACTCATTGTACTAAACCCAACACTTGTTCAATTTGGGGCATTTCTTCATTGTCTTGCATAACACTGATTTCTGCCACTTTTCTGAAGACCTGACCCACACTGTTCCTGTAATCAGGCTTGCAGTAAAATGCTTAGCACACAATACAGTTTCCTTCCCTTCCTCCATTCCCCTTCTCTTGTCCCCTCAGGGTCTTACAGATGTTGCCACCACTTCGTCTTCTTTTACCACCCAACTGCAGCCTGGCTCTCTCTGTTGAGAATGACAGCTAGTGTGCCATGTTTGCCCCTGTGTTATGTTTTCACTCCATTCTTTCTTGAGTCCTCCCAATGGGGTTGTTTCAGTCCTTGCCTCCCTTCACTATATGCAAGTGCTGTGCACTCATTGTTCTGCAGTGTTTCTCTCACGTCTCCCAGCCATGGTTGCAATGAGATTTCTTCAACTACACAACCCATGGGGGGTCTATTCCTTACCCTGAATGGTCCTTCTTGGTTTTGCCTCTGCCTGTGTTCCTAATGTTCTTCAGTCTGAAGCTGGACTCTCAGCGTCTAATTCAATCCCTAAGCTCTTAATGTTTTATGTTGACATACCTCATTCAAAACCCAGGAGTCATAGCTGCACAAACTCAGAAAGGAGAATCAGACCTACTTATATCCACAAACCAAATGGAAAACTTTTTTACTAAAGTAATTTTTTTTTTTAGTACTGTGTGCAGTTTTGGGTGCTGCAGTATAAGAATGACATTGAGGTGCTGGAGAGGGTGCAGAGAAGGGCAACCAGGCTGATTAAGGGTCTGGAGAACAGGTCTTATGAGGAGAGGCTGAGGGAGCTGGGCTGTTCAGCCTGGAGAAGAGGAGGCTGAGGGGAGACTTCACTGCTCTCTACAACTACCTGAAATTATATTGTAGTTGGTGTTGGCCTCTTCTCCTTGGTGACCAGAGATACAACAAGAGGAAATGGGGTCAAGCTGCTACAAGGGAGGTTCAGATTGGATATTAGGAAATTTTCTTCACAGAAAGCATGGTGAGGCATTGGAACAGGATGCCCAGGGAGGTGGTGGAGGCACTGTCCCTGGAGGTGTTCAAAAAACGGGTAGATGTGGTGTTTCAGGAGACAGTTTAGTGGTTAGGGGTTGTAGGGTGGATGGTTGGACGTGACGATCTTGAAGGTCTTTTCCAACCTTGACAATTCTATGATTTTCTGATTTTAAAAAGCAGACCAATTGTCTCCACAACATCAGAACACCACTGGAATGGGTGAACCATATTCTGTCAGTAGATGTGGTGTAGCAATAGAGTTGACATTATAATCCCCATTTTCCTTTAGAAATGTCTAAAACTGAAAAATGACAAGGTCAACAAGGAAGACAATATTGCATAAGACCTTTTAAAGATTTTTTCAGAAGCAGCTTTGGGTAGGCTGAAACAGCCTTGATGCAGGAGAAAAGGAAAGGGAGGTGCAAGCAGTACTCTATTTCTAAAGTTATTAATTGCTTAACAGACACAGAGCTTGGCTCAGGACAAGAGGTGAATCTTCTCTCTCGTAGGATCAGAGGTAAATAAACCAATTTAAGTAACTTTTTCTGATGCTTTCAATAAGTGATCTGTGGCTTACATGACTGTATAGGTAAATTATAACATTCAAGTGTGTTATTCTTGCCTCATTTTCTCTAGATGTCAACTCTTAGAGGAAAGCCTGTGAGGAAAGTTTTCCTGTAAGGAAAACTGTTAGGTCAGGGCAAAACTGATCACAAGAAAGAAAATTTTATTTGGGCAATAACTGCCTTATTAATTAAAATCTTAATTAAAATCTTCAGTTTGACAAAGGAGGCCCATACTTCAGTTTAGGAACAGGCCATTTTCATTCTGCCAAGGCACAGCACTGCACATTATCAGGCCAGGGACTCAGAGGAGTATTTATTTGTGGAAGATTACCATCCTAATGCTCTCTTGGTCATGTTCTCCAAGGAAAAGTAATAACTCTACAGTACAGATTTGGTACTGACAGCACACTGACCGTCAAAGGAACTGTAGGGTTTTTGGCAACCAAACACTCAAATACCTGCAGACTACAGAGAATGCCTCATAATTTCTGCAGCTCCATTCCATAGATTGATGATGCTGCTGCTGAATAATAATAACAACAACAACAACAATAATAATAATAATAACAATAATGACAATAATTATAATAATAACAATAATGATAATAATCTTCTGGTCTCTTGAATGGAAAACAATATGAGTCAGGTACTACTGGGCAGGTATTTTAAAGTCTGGAATACTCATAACCTCAAGGAATCTACCAGCTTCTGGGAAAAACAAAATTCCTGGAACATACAGAAGGGGTGGTAGCTAAAAATCATTAATAAAACTTCAACAATCTAAAAGCAAATAACAGCTTTGCCATAAACTGTACTTCTCAGAATAAATGACTGGCTTGGAAAAGCACACAGACCTAAGAATTATGCCTAAATACTTTCTCGGTATCAACTCTCATTTCTACACAGATCCAAAATGATGAAGTGGGAAACTCAGTCATGTTGTGAACCTATGTATTAAAACTTCCTTTAAATTTCCCTAGGAACATTGCTTTAATAAATCGTTAGTTAAGGACAAAAAAGAAAAAAAAAACACAAAAACCCCTGCAGCTTATAAATCTGCACATAATTGAAAACCCAAGGCAGAAAGAAATACAAAGAAAACTACAGTTTTATAAAAGAGGACATTTCTGCAATTACAGGAAAATATTATCTGGATAACAAAAAGGCTAAAAAAAATTGCTGCTCCTAACAGGTATCTGTGTGGAAGATAAAACATACAACTAGGCTATTAGTTTTAATGGATACCAATTGTGTTGCACAGGTAACATTTCTCACTGACATGCACCACAAACATAATTTTAAACATTCAAATAGTACAATTCTGCCTGTTGCCTCTTTCCAGGTTGCAGCAATGGAACTGGTATCAACATCAGTTGGCAAATTTACAGTTGATCTTTTCAACAAGCTGAATGAGAACAACAAAGGCAAAAATATTTTCTTTTCCCCTTGGAGTATATCATCTGCTCTGGCTCTGACGTACCTGGGTGCAAAAGGCGATACAGCAACAGAGATGGCAGAGGTAGGTTGCTTTATGAAGCATACACTCCATACCATAGATAGCTACTATTCTGGCTGCAAAATTTAGTGTTAAATAGAAAAACTTGTCACCACAATGGCAAGGAACCAAGGCAGACTAGAGAAGGTAACAAGTGAATGACAAATATTATTAATTTCATAGCAGGGCCCTCAACTCTCCAAGAGAAAATGTCCTGCAGGTATCACACGCTGAGAACAGAGGTTTTCTGAACCTGACTTCTTCTAAATTATTCTACAGACTCTAATCTATCCTGTGGTCCTGCCACAGATGGGATATACCCTGTGAGATGCAAACAGCTGATTCCAGTAACTCGTAACTAATTGGCAGAAGGCTTGCAGATCCCTACACTCTCCCTTTCTTCCCTGGGCAGGATGCCTCTTTGTATCTTGATTTATGCTTTCCTAAACAACCACCTGGCAATCCAGCAAAAACAAGGAGGGCTTCCACAACTCCACATGCCCCAACCCAATCCACACGCTAATGCTGCTTGGCCACATTGCTGGCTCGAGGGCCCAAAGGGAACTGTAGTGCTCAGCATTGCCCAGCACCCTTCTCTGTGTCACTGCACTCTCATTCTGGTGCCTTTGTACCATCATCATGGGGAGAACGATTTGAGTTTGCACAGATAGATTGTTACTGCTGAAAGCAACTGCTGTGGGAGGGAGTTCAGCCCTGCAGCATGCAGACAGCACTGTGTTGAGTCTTTGGGAGGGGGACAGTGCTACTCGTTGTTACTCTGTGGGATTTACACTACCACAGCTTCAGCATCCCTTTGATTAATCACCTAAGCAGTCAAGAACACAGTGAATTATCATGAGGAGCAAAACACAACTGTCTGATGTGCATTTGTATTTCTGTCATACCAGTTTCTTCATATCTATTTCTAACCTTTACAAACTCTATTTGTAGGTTCTTCATTTCCTTCAAGCAGCAAGAGATGAAGGCTCTTCTTCTGTGGTCAGACCTTCTCGGGGGCGACCAAAGAGAAGAAAAATGGTATGTATTACAACTGAAATCCAAAGAAAAAGAATCTCCAGAATCAAAACGTCTAGATACAGATTTAGTACAGTATTCTTGTCTGCACCCCTCTTTAAAGCATGAAACCTGGTATACTTCATAACAGGCTCAAGCTCAGTTCCCTTCACACAGACTCTCAGAAGTACATATGGACAAGTGATTGGGATAGTCTGGAAGATTTGTTATATGGCAAATCAATTAATCTAGTCATAAATGGAGTCCTGGTAAACTCAAAAAAAAAAAAAAAAAAAAAAAAGTATGAGAAAATAACCCAAATCCCTCTCCCACATACATCACTTTTATCATGTTTTGAAACCTTAATCAAAAAATGCAATTGCTGAATGTATGTTTTGTCTTTCCAAGGACCCTGAGCACAAGCAAGCTGAAGATATCCATTCTGGCTTCAAACAGCTCCTGACTGCTATCAACAAACCCAGAAGCACCTACTCGCTGAAAAGTGCCAATCGAATCTACATTGAAAAAACCTTCCCATTACTGCCTGTAAGTTACATCTCAGAGAGGACTAAGAGAAGGTGCAAAAAGTAATCCTCTTTTTAATTATTAGCCAGGTTTGAATACTGAATGTTGCAAATGGAGGCCTCTGGATTCCAGTGAAAAACATTACTAGAAAATACAGTTGATCTGCTCACAGGATTTAGGGAGGCATTGCCCTTTGTAGTGTAGAGATTTCTTTTCATTCAATACGGCTTTATTATTGGACCCCCCCAAAACAAGACCTTAGTTGCTTCTCCAAATAGAAGTGGGAACAAAATAATGGAATTTTTCTGTCTTTTGGTTATTTCTTAACTGTTAATTCACAGTCCAACAGAGAGTAAGAAGCAAGATTCTGTAGTCCTTGATACCTGAGAAGCTATCAAGAAGATCAAGAACTAACAACTTCCCTTTACAACTGAAAAACCCAGTATAATATAGATTTTTTAAATTTATTTTTCCTATTTTTCAGAGATACATACAGCTCAGTAAGAACTACTACAAAGCAGAGCCAGAGAAGGTTAACTTTAAGACATCACCGGAACCATCCAGAAAGCAAATTAACGCTTGGGTTGAAAAACAAACTGAGGGTAAGTTGAGCTTACAGAGAAAGAGCAGCACTTACGCAGCTTCAAATACCTGATCCAGATCTCAGTGAGGTCCTTGGCAAGACTACCATCAACTGCAGTGTGCTCTGCATCAGCTGGTCCTCAAGCACAACTGCAGTGCACCCATGCATCACAGGCAGAGCAGACAGAGGGGAAAAACACCTCTGTCTACCAGCGTGCTCCATGGTGGGTGGGATGCCTGCCTAGCTGTACCATCCTACACTGGCCAGAGGTGCTGGCCTCCTTTCACCTGGCACAACCACCTACTGAGGCATTATATGGCTTTCTATTTCCAGCTCCTTGCCACTAAGCTGTGTGTTATCTGGGAAAGAAGTCAATCCCTTTCAGCTAGCCAGGACAAGTGGGCAGCAAACAGCTTTGGGAATTGTAAAGAGACTAACTGATTTATGTCAGGGGAGTATTTTAGGGAGCAGGGCACTGTGCGTGGACTTTTTCACTAAGGAGTTGAACTGAGAGGAAAACAATCAAAACATGTTCTCACTGTGCTAAATTGGAATAAAACTTGACTCTTTTAATTCCAAAAGGAAAAATAAAGAATTTGCTGGGTTCACAAGATGTGACAAAAATGACCATGATGATCCTGGTAAATGCCATTTACTTCAAGGCAGAATGGGCAACGAAATTTCAAGCAGGAAAAACAGATCTTCAACCCTTTCGACTGAGCAAGGTAAGATCCTCTGCTATCTCTCTTACAGTAAACATGCCTGGTGACAACTGCTACAGCTGAAATCTTTCAAACTCCCAAGTCTTTCAGGTATCCCTTTGACAACTAGACTCCTTGTGAAAAGCTGGTAACAACAAAATGTGTCAGTGCTCACTCACTGCAACATTAAGATGCTGCTCAGGTAAATGTTAATGTGCTCCAGATAAGTTACTGTTTCCATAAGCATTAGTCACTTGACACTTTTTTTTTTTTTTTTTTTTTTTTTTTTTTTTTTTTAACAAACAAACAACAAACACAACAACGAACAAAGCAAACCAGCACTAAAAGGGCTAGATCGTAAAAATATGATTTTGAGAGTCCAGGCTTCACAGATAGGAACATGGCTGAGCAAGACTAGAAGAAGCATAAATGTCATGTTTCCAGAAGAGATGTCAATAATTTCACATGAAAAAAATAAGAACTGTGTGCAATTTCCACCAGCTTCTGCCTTCTGAAGAGCATTTATACAGTGGCTGTTTCCCTGAATGAAGGGACATAAGATGTTAAGAGGCAGTAAATAATGCTATAAAGGTAACTACTTGCCAGGAACTGTCCTCATCATGAACCCCTTTGCTCAGACATTTGTATTATCTTCTCTTAAGGGCTGTGACATCAAGAGCAATCAGATAGCTAGACAGTTTTTATTGTCAGAGAGAGAAGACCACATTAAATCATAGCTGTTCCTCGGTCAGAACCCATAGCCATCCCATCCCCCCAACCCTTGCAGTCATTTCTAAGTATTTCTCTCCCACCCGAGGGCTGCTGTGAATTTTTTGGGGAAAAGAGAAAATACGTCAAATAACCCTGCAACAAAATGCTCTGGGACAAACACCAAGATAAGCAGTATTTTCCAGTAAAAAAAAACCAAAAAAACAACACTTTGGAAAATCTGTTTTGGAAAACCAAATCTGTTACAAATTTACTTACAAAAGCTTCCTCTCCCTCCACTGCACTGAGTCATTGTCATCCTTCCTTTCCAGGAATTATTTCTAACTTATAAATAAATACTTTACAGAACAAGACCAAGCTTGTGAAGATGATGTACAGGAGGGATACATTTCCAGTTCTCATAATGGAAACAATGAATTTTAAAATTATTGAGTTGCCGTATGTGAAACATGAACTCAGTATGTTCATCCTCCTTCCTGATGACATCAAAGACAGCACAACGGGTCTTGAACAGGTAAAAAAAATGTGCTACATTCATTTTGCATCACCACCCAGTTATCAAAACAAAATTTGAAAAAGGACAGGCTGGGGACCATATGTCCCCCTCTGAGGACATGCTGTTGGATCTTCTAGCTGAATTAATTTATTTTGTTACCTGCCTAATCCTGTTCTTAATGTCCCAAGAAAGTTCCTCCACAACAACTTCCCTTAGTTTGGTAAGAACTAAAGACAGCCAACATTGTGCATTATCAGATGTTTGGCTCTTCCACAGCGCCATCCCTGGCACTCACTCCTACCTCATTTGTAAGGGATTAATCTCCTTTCACTGCACATTCAGGAGGCACAGTACTGTGCAAGTAGTCACAGCCTCTTCCTGAGATAAAGGACATGGAGCAGACACCTCTGCTTCCTGGCCTGGAATTTTATTCACCACCTTTTTTTTTCATTGTTTGCCCACAAACACATTTTTTTGCTGTCTGAAAAACTAGGGTTTTGGTGAGACTGCATTTGTTACAATGATGAGATCTGCCACTGTGGTAACTACAATTGCTAGATTGTTTCATTCCTGGTATCCATCAATGTCAAGAATACCATTCATTGGTCTCCTCCACTTGATCTGAGCTGAATCCTGGAAACATGGTGAGCAGGGTATCAACTGGCAGTGAAAGATTTTGCTGGAAGCAGTTTGTTTTAAAATTGCAAAGGCACGATGAGCAATATTAACACCTGTTTCTAGGGAGCTGGACCAAATCACCTGCTGCACAGCTGGCAATCTCCCAGTTATTTTCTTTACACCAAGACTGAATTAGAGGAAAGAACTACCTCAGGGGATGGATGGCAGCTGCAGGTGTTGAGTGCCTTGTTTTTCTTTTGCAATTAATTTGGCAGAAGTGGTGTTCAAAACCTTGCAGCATTGAGTCTTAAATATTTGTTGCATACCCTGCCTCTGATCATCAGTAAAACCAATTCATATTTCATGCTTTCAGCTAAATGTTAAATTTACTATTTAAAAACTGTTTAAATAATTAAATTACCACAACATTGACTAGTTCATAGGTAATGATTTTTTTTTTCTTGCAATCATCAAATTCTGCCTCTTTTAAACGATAGCTGGAAAGAGAACTGACGTATGAGAAGCTATCTGAATGGACTGATTCCAAGAAGATGACTGAAACTCTTGTGGATCTGTACCTACCTAAGTTCAAAATGGAGGAGACATATGACCTCAGTGATAATCTGATCAGCATGGGGATGCACAGTGCCTTCAGCAGCAATGCTGATTTCACTGCAATGTCTGAGAAGAGTGCTGTGCAGATCTCCAAAGTTTTTCACAAGTCTTTTGTTGCAGTTGATGAGGAAGGCACTGAGGCAGCTGCTGCTACTGCTGTAATTATAGAACTAGCAAGTGCCCCTGTCAGCCATGTTCTGAAATTTAGGGTTGACCACCCTTTCCACTTCTTCATCAGACACAACAAATCCAAGACCATCCTCTTTTTTGGCAGATTCTGCTCTCCCCTAGAATGAATTTTTACTTGCTCCAGACAGCACCCAAGTTTCGCTATTCAAGGAAAAAATGTGAACTGCAGTGTTGAAAGCTCATCCTTAAGCCATGTAGACATATGTACTGAAAGTATATGCCATTTTTCTTCCTCTTCCAAGTTAGGCAGTACCCACAGTTCACCCTGTGCCTCAAAGATTATCCCTCTACTGCTCTTTTCCATTGTCCTAATAAGACAACCCTCCACAGAAAACAGAGTGCAGTTTTGGTCCCTTGCATCAAACCCACTCTCCTCGCTTTGTTGTTTGAGAGTAAGATGGAGCCACAAAAGCTTGCTGCACACAGGCCATCATCTAGCCCCATGCCAAGTGCTGACTTCAAGGGTCATACAAATTCATCCTGAATCTCCCAGAGGAAAAAAATCCCTGAAAGAAAGAAAAAAACAAAAAACTTGTAGAAAGCTATATGCTCTCCTTTACTCATTGGGAAATCTTCATTTGCATTACAATGCAGTTTCCTTTCGTTCACTTCAAATTTAAAGACTGCTGGAAATTAACAAACACAGAATAATCTTAAAAGACCCCTCACCTTCCCCTGTCTATTTACAGACACATTATTAATTCTCTCCTGCCCTTGCAGCTTCATGAAAAAAAAAAAGAAGCAGAGAGGAAAAATGGTCCAGTCTTTAACATTTAATTGCTGATTTCTAATCACACTGCATTTTTTCCTCATTTTTCCAAACTTTGTAGGTTAAGGTACTGAGAGTTCCAACCAGCAAAATGCTAAGAAAATTACTAGCAACATGCTTCTTGCTACCTCTAATTGATATGTAACCCAAAACCTATAGAATTTAGACCTGCTTCCTCTTTTAAATTTAACCTAATTGTACCTGCTTCCTGGCTAATATCTGTACAGCTTCCTTGCTACCCGCATCACTGATCAATGTACAATTTATGCAATGCTTTATGATGAATGATGGAACTTGTAAGTGCATTACAGCAAAGACAGTCATGCTATTGATAGAAACACCAGTGAGATGCTTTACTTCATCATTTAATCATTATCTGTATTTAATCCAATAAATGAACCTGGAGTTGTGTTTGTGCTCTTCAGGACACAGACTTACCTGGTCGTCTTAGAGGGTCACAGAAGGTGCATGGCTGGAGCATATTTCAATTTTTTCCTTTTCAAATCAACCACCACATGTTCTCCATTGACACACTTGGTGTTTTATTTCCACTAGGCTTCAAACAGCCCTGAAAACACTGTTATTCAGCATGGTATTCTAAGCATTTAATAAAATATATCAAATCAAATTAAACTCTGTGTTGAGCAAGTTTTTGCTCAGTCAAGGCATCTGAACTGCTTTTTTAAGCTTTCAGTTTCCCATTTTTAACCACTGCTTACTGCACTATTAGCCCCCTGGGACCTATTCAGGAGTCTTCTTTTTCTGTCACAACACACTAGAAACAAAAAAAAACAGTAAAGCCTATAACCCAGAAGAGAAGCTCCCAAATATCTCTTTTGCCCATGTACAACAGTGAACAAGCAATGCCACTCTGGCAACCCCAGTTCCCTCCCTTGGCATGGAAAGGCAGCAGTTGTGCTTTCCTGTGGCAGTGAGGAATGGCATTAAGTTTTGTAGCTATTCTGATACTCAACAACCACATGTCAGAGAACAGTATTTAAGGCAACAAGATTTGAATGCAGGAGGGAGGTACTGTAAAAACATTTACTCTCAGCAAAATTCCACCTATAATTACAACTCACTCCACCTCCACACAAGGTATTATCTTTGAAAGTACATCTCCACCCAACAAAGTGTACCTACATCTTCTTCCCTGCACAAAGTGCTGCTTCTAAAGTCAGTGACCTTCCTTGCCTATAACCCTGAGCCCAGGGTTCAGCTGTTTGTCATCCAGGACAAAGTGCAGCTAAGTTGTGTGCTATTGACTCAGCTTTACTAAGACATTTATTGTTTAGGTGTGGAAAAGCACATAAGTGAAGACCATGCAAAATAAGAAAAGTTAAAACACAAAGAAATTATTGTCAGAATGGAGAGTAATCATAGAAAGGCTTCAGAAGGTGAAACACTTGCATGAGGAGGTACAAAAATCTCAATTTAAAAAAAAAAAAAAAAAAGAAGAATTTGAAGGCATCAACTAGCAACACTGAGGCTGAGCCTCACCTAGGGAGTGACAAGGACAAGCTCTCATCCATCTGAGGGTTGCCTGTCCAGCAAAGACTCACCAGGATGGCAAGTATGTTAATTCTTAGCATAGTGGCATATTAATCCTATCCCTCCACTGAATGTATTCCCAATTACTGGGAACTCCTAAATTGCATACACCCAGTTTGAAGAGTCCCTGCATGTCAGAGCAAAAGTTGCCCAAACAAGTGGGAAGAGTGTCATGCCAAGCCAAATGAAAGGTCTTCCCATTGTAACTGATAACTTCTGTGCATCACCTCACTCATACCACACTGCAGGGCTCTACAAATTAGTACCTCTGAAGCTCTCTGAGGAACTACAGTATGGTGACCATCAGCTGGTGAGAGGTGCAAAAGGTCAAACAGGCTGGTTTTGGTACCAAGCTACTCAGTCTCAGCTTTGCTTGGGAGACGATGCCAAGTATAAGACACACCTGTATAAAACATTCCAGGATAAGACATACTTGAGTGCAAAGGGTGAAAGAGAGGAAAAGAACCTATCTACAGGGAAACACTCTTCAGAGATCATCTACTGCAAGCAACAATGGAAGCTGCTTTATTTTCTGTCTGGCTCTCAAGTCAGGCTAACCCTTACAGACTCACTGAATCATTCTGGCTAGAAGTGATCATTTGAGATTATCTAGTCCAAACCTCTGTATAAGCAAGTGCAGGTTGCACAGGACCATGTCCAGATGTCTCCATCGACCCATCGACCTGTTCAGACAATGTGTGCTAGTGTTTGACCATCCTCACAGCAAAAAAAAATAAAATAAAATCTGCATTCAGATTCAATTTAATATTTTAATTTGTGCCCATTTCCTCTTTTCGTCTCATTAGACACTACTGAGAAGAGTCTCTTTCCTTCTTTGTTGCATCCCTTAAGGTATTTATCCATATAGATAAGATCTCCCTGAGCTTTCTTTCCTCCAGGCTGTTAGTTCCAACTCTCTCAGCCTCTTCTCTTTCAAAAGATGCTCCACTCCCTTAATCATCATTGTGACCCTGTTCAGGAAGAATATATGGAAAATCATATCTCCTGGGGAGATTTTGCTTGATCACAAGAGGTAAATTTTTCACCATGAGGACAGTCAAGCATTGGAATAGTCTCCCAAGGGAAGTGCTAGATTCCCCCATATTGGACAGTTTTAAGTCTCAGCTTGACAGGGTGCTGAGCCATCTCATATAAACTATAGTAGCACCTAGAAAGATTGGACCAGGTGCTCCTTGAGGTCCCTTCCAACCTGGCATTCTATGATTCATGTCCTTCACGTGTTTGGAAATGGCTTCCTTGAGGATTTTCTCCATCATCTTCCCAGGGACTGAGGTCAGGCTGATGGGCCCATAGTTCCCTGAATCTTTTGAAGTCAGTTGTGCTATTTGCCCTCTGCCAAAAGTTCAGAAACTCTTTCCAGACAGCCTGGCCTTTCAAAGATAATTGAGAGAAACCTCACAATTACGTCAGCCAGTTCTCTCAGTGCTTGTGTGTACAAGTCATCAGGTGCCATGAACTCATATATGTTCTACTAAATGATGCTGAACTTTATCTTCCTCTGCCAAGAGTAATTCTTCCTCTTTCCAGACTTTTTGCCCTTGTCTCAAGCATTTCTGAAGAGTGGTCTTACCAGTACAGACTGAGGCACAGAATGCATTGAGCACCTTGGCCTTTTCTGTGTGCTCTGTCAGTGTACCCCCTGCATTACCCAGCAGTGGAACTGTATTTTCCCAAGTCTTTTTGTCTTGTACTCGTAGACTCTCTTCCAGCTGCTCTTCACATCCCTTGCCAGATTCAATGCCAGGTCGACCTTGACTTTCCTAACCCTATCTCTGAAAGATCAGAGAGCAACTCCATACTCCTCCTGGTTCACCTCCCCTGCTTCTACGTCTTATAAACTTCCTTTAAATGTCTGAGTTCAGTAAGGAACTCCTTGCTCATCCATGCAGTTCTCATACCACATTGCTGGATTTCCTACTTGCCAGAATGGACCATTCTTGAGCTTGGATGGGTTGATTCTTCAATATCAAACAGCTCTCCTGAACTACTTTGCTCTCCAGGGCTATATCACATGGGATTCTTCCAAGCAGATCTCTCAAGATTTCCAGAAATCCAGGGTTGTAGTCCTGCTTTTTGCCCTGTTCCTTCCTCTTAGGATCCTGAGCTCCATCACCTTGTAGTCACTGTAGCCATGGCTGCTTCTCACTTTCACATCTATGATCAGTTCTTCCTTGTTTCTCAGTATCAAGTCCAGCAGAGCATCATTCCTTGTTGGTACTGCAATCACTTGTGCCATTAAGTTGTCCTCAATGTACTCTAGTAATACCCTGAACTGCTTGGCCCCTAATGTATTGTTCTTCCAGCAGTTATCAGAGTGGTCGCCCAAAATGACCAGGCTTCTTTCAGTTGTTTGAGGAAGTCCAAGTCTCCTTCATAACCAGAAAGTCTACAGCAGATACCCACAACAGCACCTGTGTTGGCCTGCCCACTAACCTTCACTCATAAGATCTCAGCTGGCTCTGAACCTGCACCAAGGCCAAGCCTCAAGAATTCCAGCTGCTCTCTCACACAAAGGACAACTCCCTTTCCTTGTCCTGCCTGTCCTTCCTGAAAAGCTTGTATCACTCCACTGCCACACTGCAGTTGTGTGACCTATCCCACCATTCACAATGCACAAGAATAGGAGTACGACAATCAGGCAGAAAGATACGACTTCACATCTATGCTGAGTAAGACGGGAATGAAAGATAGTTTCAAAAAGGTCAAAATGACTTCATCAGTATGGCAGAGGAAAATGACTGGTTTTATCAAAGACTTGTTATGACCATTTGTCAGAGGTCAATCCACTTGAGGTCAACAGGTCAGGCACTGTAATGCTGTGAAACCTTGTTTCTACCATTCTGGTTGCAGCAATTTGCTATTTCCTCTCACTGTTTCTATCTGGCACAGCAAAACCAAGAGCATCTCTTCTTTGGCCAATTTGCTTTGAAACTCCACTCTCTCTTACTAAACAGGATCTTGCAGCAGCTGGAATATACCACAAAGAGTGTCTACACAATTTGGGTGCCCTTTCTTCATTTTCCTGTATTTTTGGCTAATCTTTGCAGCTTTTAGCACTACTAACTGTTGTTTGGGCTTTTTTAATTCTCATATTCATTTAGCTAAAAATAGACAACAGTTGTTTCAGATACATGACTGTGTCCTGGTTTTAGCCAGGATGAAGCCAATTTTCCTTTTGCTGATTTTTTTTTCTTTCAGTAAGCTTTCTTTCAACTAGTCACAGTGTGTTCTAACTAAGGCTGATAAGAATGGAATGTTTCTGTAACTGCTGGGGCTTCAAGGTCACACCTTCACTCTGCCGGCTCAGACACTATGGGGAGATCTATGACCCCCCCCCGTAGGAGGCTGAATTAGACAGCAAAATTGGCCAGAGATATTCCATTCCATATATCTATGTAAGCTCAGAAGAAGATCAGAGATCACAGAAGACAAGTTCCCTCCTGTTGCTTCCTCTCTTCCATCCATGGCTGGCGTCCGGGGAGGACTCCGTCCATCCATCACCATCAACCCCCAGGCTCGAGCTCTCCTGACCCTCATCACTCTGTGCTTTCTCCAGCAGCTCTGGAATTTTTCAGGACTGTTCCCAGCTCAGGAGATGCTGTGGGAGTTGCTGGGGGTGGGGGGAGGCGAGAGGCTTTTGCACATATCCAAACATATTTGTATATAATTATATATATATTTTTTATCATTAGTGTTTAATTAAAGCTGTGTAGTTTAGTTTTCAACCCAGCCAAGTCTCTCTCTTTTTCTCTCTCTCCTTCCTACCTGGGTGGGGAGGGGAGGGGATCGAAAGCGTTGTTGTTAGACCTGAGTTAAATGGTGACAGGCAGAAACATTTCTTAAAGCATGTAACTAAACACAGTAGTGTCTAATACATTTCTAAGCAAGGAAATAAGGTGGTTATTCCAGGCACAAGACCTGCCCACACTTCAAAACAAAATGTGAAAAAAGAGAGGCAAATATACCACTCTTGAAACTTTGTATGTACCAATCAGATTCAAAGTGAATATAAGCATAAAAATGTAATTCTAGTACAAAATATGGACTTGCACTCTTTATCCTGATGTTTTTTCTGCATAGGTTGACTGTAGACTGGTAATTGGTTTACTTCAAATTTGTCATACTAGTGGGCAGAGGCCATTCCTAACTAGCCATAAAGGTACACAGGAAAGACATACATTGATCGCAAAGGAAATTTATCAATGCCGTTTAACCTAAGCCACACAGATAAGATCAGAGTAAACCAACAGAATTGCTAATTACACTGTTTTATGTTACATCTTTGCTGATGTCCTTTTCACACTTTCTGCTGTTTTGGCTCTCTACTCCAATACAGAAGAGTATCAGTAAAATAAATCATTATAAGCAGAGCTTCCAACCAGTTGTGCAGCTTTTGGTGGATGATCTAAATTCCCTCAATTGATCATAAAGGAATAATAAGCTTGGCAAACTGCAGGGCCTGTAGGTACCTAAAGCATCTTCACCTCCTCTTGTAGGAGAGCAGCCTCTTAAAACAACATCCTCCAGTTCAAATGAGTCCAGTGTTCACTCTCATTTAATCACTTATTTTAGGTAGAAATATCTAAGGTATTCATAAGGTGTAAATAGCTTCTGAGCTTCCTTTGCAATCTGCTTTCTGAAATAGAAAAGCAAAAATGTAAAATATCACAAAATAAAGGCTTTATGTGACCAGGAGGCCACAAGTATTGAAATGCTTCCTGTCTCCAATTTAACCACAGGATGCATTCATCTGAGACATGACTAACATCTTATTCCAATATTCCCTTTTAGCTGCATTTTTTGAGATTAATTTCTATTCGTTTCCACAATTTGCAGAGTAAAAAGAAAAGGGAGCTACACAATTATTTCAACATGTCCCTTGCAAATGCAGGGTGGCTGAATTATTTTCTGCAATTTCTACATTTTTGAAGGTCAAACGCTAAGGTTGTGGATACCATCTGTGGGAGAAAGGCATACTGGTCTTCAGGTTTCAGGACATAGACCCACTAACACTGGCCTTGAATTGACAAGGTCTTCTCTGAGTTTTGAAAGCAAGTGATAGAGAGGAGAAGTAGAAATAAATGAGGGAGCATGGACATTAATACAAGAAGAGGACGTAAAGAAAAAAAAGGGATGTGGAAATATTTCTGCATTTCAAAAAGTATTCATTGCCTCACAGACTGCCACAGATCCTGACTGAAGACAGATCTTAACTATTCTCCCCACACATGATTTCAGGTAGTGTAAATATCCATATGAAAAATAACTACCTTTACTTTGGAAGTCTTAAAAATTCATTGTTAAATTCTTTGGAACTGAGCAGTTAAATGATGGCAAGAAAGTCATGCAGGGGAAAGGAGTGCACATTTTTAAGTCCAAAGTGTAGCCCTTAGGAAAACTCTGTGCCAAGGCACAGTGGTCAGGATGCAAGCCCAGGTTGGGCAAAACCTACACAGCCTGGGAGGGCAGAAAGTTTCCTTACCTGAAGGAAGGGTGCCTTAATCACCAGGCTACCAGACAATGTAGGATCAGAGGACTGAGAACAGGCTATGGGAGAGAAAACACTCCTACTGATCCTGGAACAGGGCACATAAGATAGCATGGCTCTGTAGCACAGTGTTGTGCATGCTCAGCAGGGAGTGTATTGGTTCCAGGCTCTGCTTTACTAATATTAAATAACTACTGGATCAGGCATCCAGACTTTTCCAGGTGACCAAAGTAGCTAGTAGACCAGTGTACCTTACAGAAATCACATACACATTCACTCTCTCAAGCCTGAGAAATGCCTGATTGCCCCATGCAATCTGGGGATGCAGATGCAGTCTGGGGACTCTCAGGGAAGAGGAGACGGAGATGTCAGTTTGAGATTCCTCAGGTAAAAATGTTCAGCTCAGCACTGTTCCCTAGATACAATCTGGGACTATTGGCATCTCCAGGCACAGCAGTAAGAGATATCTGATTGGAAGGTCCTAAAAATGCTTAAGTATGAGCTAGGCTGCAGGGCATTCATGTCTGAAGCACTCCTGAGAATGTTTCAAAGCAGTTGTGGAGCCCTGGAAAGCTCTGAAATCAAAACTCAGGGATTCCAGAGGCTCTGAGCATCTATAAAACTGCATGGCAGCTGGCTTTGAGGACTGCAGTTTTTTATTTAGGCATGTAAATTGTGGGTGAAGGTGGACCTAAATGTCTAGTTGCTTCAGTTGATCTAATGCTTAACCTTTCAAATGATACCATTTTCCACTGACTTTAGACAGTTTTAGTAGTCCTCAAACTGGTGAACACAATGAAAACTTCTGAATTTATCCTAATATTTGTCAACAGTATTAGATTGATCTAAAATGTGCTAATGAGAAGCACAGGTTTGCTCTGGATCCACTTGGATCCAAATGTGGGTGTACCTACATGAAGAACATATACAAATCTACAGAACTCTAGTAGCCTTCAAGACACATGTAGTGAATTGCAGGAATTCACTATGGGTTTTTTTAGCAAAAAAATTAATAATGTAGGCAGTTTAAAGAAATAGAAAGCTCAAAGCAACACAGTGAGAAATTATTTTGCTTCACTTCCTCAGAAGAGAAGAGTAATTCTATGAAACTTAAGCAAATTTTTAAATCAGGTTTGGTCTTTGAAAATATTTCTAGCTAAAATAGTGCTCATTTGATGAAGAATAAATAAAATAGCTGAGGACATTGAGGAGTGATGGGAAAGGGAGAAAAAAATGCAGACCTTAAAAAGAAGCCTACTAGCTGGCTGCACTTGGTTTCTGTGCAGTATTTGCCACATTACAGGGACACTCTCACACTGCATTTAAGAGGGTGCAGGCAGTCTTCCAGTAGCAGCTTTGTGGTTTTTTAAAAGTGAAGAAGCAGTCATCACATCTCTCTGACACTCATTCATCTCAGGCTGTACCAATGGAGTCTCTCTTGATGTCAACCAACAGCTTCACTCTGGACCTTTACAAAAAGCTGAATGAAACCTCCAAAGGCCAAGACATTTTATTTTCTCCTTGGAGTATTGCAACTGCTCTTGCCATGGTCTACCTGGCTGCAAAAGGTGACACTGCAACCCAGATGGCTGAGGTAAGCTCTGAAATCAGCAGTGTAAAACCTTACAGGTAGTTCCCACAAAAGTTACATTATTTTTCTGCCCATTGGGAACAGAAAGGAACAATATGAGAGAACAGTGACCTGCCATAATGTTGGGGACTGGAAATAACCTGCAGGTCACTGTTTTTTCCACCTAATTTATGAGATTGCCCTGTTCTGCACTATCCTTACATTTCCCAGAGCATTGCAAGTGGTCTGCTAGAGGGAAGTTGCTGACATTAAGACTACTGCTGGTCTTCCTTGGAACCCTACCTTCTATTTTTAACCCAGCTGATTCTGAAGTAGCATATCTGCTTTCTTGTACTGCATACCAAAGCCAGTATGCTCTCCTGAACACGTGTGGGCCTGCACAGAAGCAGTATGAATACCTTTGCTTGTGATGTCGTTAGTCCATAAATAAGGTAATCCTCCCATGAACAGTGGAAACATTCTAGTACTGAAAGCATGATTTCACTTAGTCCTGTTTTAGCAGAACTTCTCAGTCATATTCTCTTTTAGGTTACATGCATTTACTTAAACACATTAAATGTATAATTTTACATTTTCGTCCCAGCGGTAAGACTCTGAAGTGCACTATGCTCTTTGTTGTGCTTAGTCATGGTCTGAAAATAAATTCCATGTTTCCAAGCATGAACTGACCATTTATCTAAATATAATAATATTTGATCCATATTATTAATCTATTCTTAAATAGTAAATGTGACTAAATTCTATATAATTATGATACAGTTACAGAGACTAAAGAAAAAGTGAGGTCTTGTCCTCAGTAAATTTTAATGGAATAACTGACACTGGGTATGACTGGTGAATTACCATAGAAAACTAACATAACTACATAATTCTTCGGCACATTTATCTTCAAAAAGTAAGCTGTCTTTATGAACACTTATTATCAACACAGGTTCTTCATTTTCACCAGACTTCAGGAGATGAAGGTTTGTCTGAGACAAGGCCTTCTCTGGGGAAACCAAGGAAAAGAAAGATGGTATTTATTACAGCAAAAGACTCAGAGAAAAAAATCTCTGAGAAGGGGAGAGTTCATCACAAGTACTGCTTTAACCTTCTAATATTTGCCCATTTTCAGTTTGTATGTACTGTTTCACTTCAGTAAGAACTATATATAGAAAAAGAGAACAAGCAGATAAAAAAATCCCCTTTAAGCTAATGCATGCTGATTCACCCTTGTTCATCAGCTCCCTAGAGATCAGCCACCAGGAGGAACTGCTGCCCACATCTTTTTAATCAAATCAACTCCCTAAGCACCAAGAGGCTTGTAAACTCAAACGAGCCATGTTTCTTTAGAAACTTCATTTAGAAACTTCATTTAGAAACTAAATGAAGCTCAAAGAAAGCTCAAAGAAACTAGATTAGACAAACTGGAATTAAAAGGGGAGCAGGCTGTATCATTCCCTCCCTAGGTGGCAGGGGATGAATCTTCAAGATGAATCTACAGTCATTTTAGCAACTCACTAATTTTCTGAGTTGTAGGAAAGTATGCCTAATCTACTCCTTTGGACATTTCCCTCCATTACCTCTACAGTTTGCTCCTATCCCCTTTCAAAACCCAACCTCTCCTAGCCTGTGTCCTCTGGTTACCAAATTCTTTCTTAGGTGTCTTTCCTAACAGCCCATGTCTCAGCATGAATGAGAAAAGACTAGAGCAAGGAATGCCACCTGACCAACTTCATGACAAGTCACCTTGAGCCAGTGGCACAGACTCCCAGGGTGTCACATGCAGGACATGGTACATGCCATGGAGGAGGAGACTGCACCCAAGCAGCTGGAGGGGAGCAGCTGACAGGTAGCAGCTTATTCCTCTATTCACGAAGCAACAGCTGGATACAGCTGGCATCGAGCTCATGCTCCCTAAAACCATCAAGACTGACATCCAGGACATGCTCCCTCCAAAATCCAAACAGCAACAGCAAAATTCATGTGAAATAGAGTAAATCTGTGCCCTGACATTAGATTCTGTCAGAACAAAGCACCTCCTCAAAAGCCACAAGGCTGCCTTCATTGGTCCTCGTGACACTGAAAATTAGGCCTAACCATGACTGAAATGAGGAGATTCAATGTCCTAAGTGCACCATCAGCTGATGTCCCCAAGGGCCCGCACAGCACTGCAGAAACAGATCATCACCCTATAGACAGAGAAAAATTTGTCCAGTTACACACAGTGGCACAAACATGAAACATACTCAAAACAGAGCTCCAGCTGGCGACAGAACAAGAGAAAATGGCTTCAAGCTGCACCAGGGGAGGTTTAGACTAGACATTAGGAAGAACTCTCTCACTGAAATGCTTGTCAGACATTGGAACATGCTGCCCAGGGAGGTGGTTGAGTCACCATCCCTGGATGTGTTTAAAAGTTGTCTAGATGTGGCACCTGGGGATATGGCTTAGTGCTGGACTTGGTGGAGTAGGGTTAAAGGTTGGACTCGATGATCTTAAATATCTTTTCCAACCTAAGTGATTCTGTGATTCCCTAAAACTCCTTTTTAATTAAAACAACCTGGGCATTTTAAATAACCACAGTGTGTGCAACACTTCAGACAGAAAAAAATACATATTCCACATTAATTGATCTCTTCCCAAGGATCCTGAACACAAGCAAGCTGAAAACATTCACTCTGGCTTCAAAAAGCTCCTGTGTGCCATCAACAAACCGAGAAGCACGTACCTGCTGAAGTGTGTCAACCAACTGTATGAGGAAAAGACCTTCCTGTTACTGCTTCTGAGTTGAACATTTTTACTTAAGAAGATTCTGACATTAATAGGGATTGTCAACAGATAGGAATTTTCAGACTTTCCTTTTGTATCTACTACAACCCCTAGCAACAGGAGTTCCATAGCTGAACTATATACTGCAGGAAGCCACTGTGGTTTCTGAGCCTGCTATTTGTTGGCATCATTACTAATTCACTTTTCCTCCAAAGGATGCTTCTCCATATCTCTGGTCATCCTTGTCATCTGCTTCTGTGTCTTTTATACTCCAGCATTTCTAAGACTGGGGAGACCAGAACTGCACAGAGAACTCTGACCAGGACACCCTGTAGCTTTGTACATTGGCATGCTAATATTCTCTCTTTTGTTCTCTACTCGTGTCTTTGTAACTCTTAAAATTGTATTTGCCATTTTGGCCACTATTGGGGGGATTTATTTTTTTTCATGCAGTTGTCCATTACAGCTACAACACCTCATTCCTGAACAGTAATAATCACTTTCTGCAGCATACTCATTGTTTCCAGTCATTTACACAAACAAGACCTATCTCTGTAGTCCCACTGACGCTCAGCTTTTCCTGAGAAGTTTTACGAAATGCCTTTCCGTAAATAGGCTATAATGGCTCAACCTTCTTACTCACATGCTTCCTGACATCTTCCAAAAACTCCAACAGATTTGTGATTTAGGACTTCCTATTACAAAATTCTGTTGACACTCCGCCAACACGTTATGTTTATCCATACAACCACCAGGCTGATTCTATTAATTTGCCCTGTACAGACTCATGAGTTTGTAATTCCCCATATCTTTGAAATCTTTTTTTAAACTGACATTGTATTAGTCACCTTACAATTTATTGCCTCGTGGTTTTAAATGTGATTACTGTTCTTTTCTATCTTGGAGTTTGTTTTATCTCCTGATTAATAATTTATCCTTCTGAATGCTTATTGCTAATTTTCTCTACAATCTATTATACCCATGCTTTTCAGAGTTTCCAGGGAATTTCCTGCTGGGAATCTCCATGAGCTGTTTCACAGCAGATACCAATGCAAATATTAATTCTGCTTTTATGCCATGATGTTGTTCTACCTGAACACTTCTTTTATCCCTGATCCTTTATTGTCCTTGCAAACTCTCGGCGTGTTCCTGGCCTCTGAAGCAAACTAAAAGCCTCGTTTCAACTTTATATGAAACTAGTCTTCCCTCTTGTACTCAATTTTACATCATATAGCAGGAAAAAATATTCCAACTATATAAAATTTCATTATGAGAAATAATATTTTTTAAAAAACCAAACAACTGAAGAATTTTTTTCTCATGGGATATTTCAAAACTAAAAATTTGCACAGTGGAATTCAAACACATAAAATTCAAATGTCAGTCTCCTTAAGACTAAAGCTTGATCAGTCCTTACTTAATACTTAGCATAGAATGTATCAGATCTTATTTTAAAGGTCATCCCATTTCAAACAAATTATATTTTCTTCAAGTCCGTGTTAGCAGATTGTATAATCTGTTGGAGTGATTATTTCTAACATATTTATGACTCATATTTAACTAAATAATAATACATTTTCCAATTATATCTTTGAGAAATTCTTACAGCTCATTACAAGCTAGTACAAAGCAAAGCCACAAGCTGTAAACTTCACAACAGCTGCAGAATGAGCCAGAGCAATGATCAACTCATGGGTTGAAAATTAAACTTGAGTACCACTCTGACGGCTTTTTTCTTGTTTCACTTTCAAATCATTTGCCTCCACATTTATTGCTCTTGCAGCCAAGGATCCATAAAAGATGAAAACCTGGGGGAGATGATGATCAAAGTGCAGTTAAACAGCTTGAAGAATGCTCTCCAAACCTAACTGCTGGTCCTTACTAGGTCCTTCCTTCTTTGTGCTGTAGCCTCTTCTGAATTATTTCTATTCAAAAGGAGGCACAGGCAGACAATAAGTGGCTCCACCCTGACTGATGAAGGCTTTATTTTGGCATTCTTCAGCTGCTTGCAATTGACTTCACAGAACATCCTAGCTATTCCACTTCACCTACTTTCCAAAGCCATTTACTATCAACATTGCAATACTTTTTTTTTTTTTTTTTTTTAAGATATACTTCAAAAGCCTATTTTACAACCTGCATTATCGTGACAAATACAGAATAAAAAATTTCCCAAATGCAAAGACTTTTGCTAGGTAGGTAGGCACAAAGAAAGCACAATTAAAACTGGCAAGTTACACAGTCACGCTGGAATAACAGTCCTATTTGTCTGATTTTGAAGGGAAAATCCAGGATCTGCTGCCTGCAGGATCTCTCAATCCTTGCACTGTATTTGTCTTAGTAAATGCCATTTATTTCAATGGAAACTGGGAAAAGAAACTTCTGGAGAAAAATACTTCTGAGATGCCCTTCAGACTGAGCAAGGTAAATTCCTTGTCTATATGCCTATTGTCATATGTCAAGATGTGTATTACTGAAGAGAAAGCAACCTCTTAAATATTCCACCTGCATTTTGTATGCCACTGCAACACTGCTCCTAGCTAGGCTCAGGGTATAAACTCCGTGAGAACGGCAACTGTGAAAATAAGTCAGCATTATCTTCTTTCTGGATATGCATGAGAATATGATTTTCACTTTAATCAATAGCTCTTTAGTATCAGAACACTTGAGAACACTCTTGTTAGGTAGCTTAAGGACAAGAGGAAACGTCTGAAAGTACCAAGACCCCAGTTTTGCAGAAGGGGCTGAGTTGCTTTTGAGAGCAATGCCTACACACCTACCTCTCTTTGCTGCTTTTGACAGACTCTACCCTGAGATGAAGGAAACTGAACCAACTGCTCCTCCCTCACACGCCCTGGGTGTTGCATAACACCTCAGAGGGAATTCTCATGGGGGTTTGTCATTTTAGCGTGTGAAGATGATGTATTCAGGATAAACTGCAGGAACATTATTGAGATAATAGTATTTAAATGATCAGGTGCTGAAGATTCACAGTAACTGACTGCATGCATATTTTTGGACTGTGTCAAAGGCAAGCAAAATTAGTTGTCAATGGAAGCATGTATCTTGTTTGAGATAGATTATGAATGCAAACACCTTCTGTAGGCCAGGCAACATGAAATGTTTGTGTCAATGGCATGACTGTGTATCCAAAGCCTACCACACTACTTGTGTGGCTTTAGGCTCTGTCCTGGTACATGGTTATGGTGGGCTAACCTTGGCTGCCCAGCAGGTGCCCACCAAGCCACCCCATCACTCCCCATTCTCAACAGGATGGGGGGAGAAAACAAAAAGCTCATGGATTGAGATAAGGACAGGTAGATCATTTACAAATTACCATCACAGGCAACACAGACTCAACTTAGGGAAATTAACTTATTGCCAGTTACTCAAAGTAGGATAATCAGCAATAAGGCCAAATACAAAACACCTTCCTCCCATCCCTCCCTCTTCCCAGGCTCAGCTTCACTCCCAGCTCTTCTACTTAGCCCCCCAAGCAGAGCAGGAGGACAGGAATGGGGGTTGAGGTCAGTTCATAACACTTTGCCTCTGCAGCTTGTTCCTCCTCACACTCCTTCCCTGATCCAGTGTGAGGTCCTGCCTGTGGGACACAGTCCTTCTCATGTCCAATGTGGGTCCCTCCCACAGGCTGCAGCTCTTCAAGAACGGCTCCAACATGGACCTTACCATGGGGTACAATCTGGCAGGAATTGACTGCTTCAGTGTGGGTTCCCCACCAGGTTACAGGTTCTGCCAGTAAACCTGCTCCTGCATGGAATCTCTATGGGTTGCAGCATTCTTCAGATCACATCCACATGTTGAGATGGCCAGGCCCAAAGAGCCGTAGTCAATGGAGTTAAATCTAGTCGGTGGCTGGTCATGAGTGGTGCTCCCCAGGACTGAGTACTGGGGCCACTCCTCTTCAACATCTTTACCAATGATGTAGACAAGGGGATAGAGTGCATCCTTAGTAAATTTGCAGAATACACTAAGCTGGGTGGAGGTGTTGATCTGCCTGAGGGTAGGGAGGGTCTACAGAGGGATTTAGACAAGCTTGATCAATGAGCCAAGGCCAATTGCATGAGTTTCAATGAGGCCAAATGTTGGGTTCTGCACTTTGGCCACAACAACCCCTTGCAGGGCTACAGGCCTGAGGAGGAGTGGCTGAAGAGCTGCCCGGCAGAGAGAGACCTGGGGGTGCTGACTGACAGCTGGCTGAACATGAGCCAGCAGTGTGCCCAGCTGGCCAAGAGGGACAACAGCATCCTGGCCTGTATAATTAATAGTGTGGCCAGCAGAGCCAGGGAGGAGATCTCACCCCTCTATTCAGCACTGGTAAGGCTACACTTCAAGTCCTGTGCTCAGTTCTGGACCCCTCCCTAACAGAAAGGACATGTGCTACTAGAGCATGTTTAAAGAAGAGCAACAAAGCTGAAGAAGGGTTTGGAGCTCATGTCTTATGAGGAGCAGCTGATGGAGATGGGCTTGTTCAGCCTAGAGAAAAGGAGGCTGAGGGGAGATGTGATCGTTCTCGACAACTACCTGAAAGAAAGTTGTAAAGAGGTGTGGATCAGTTGTTAAATTAAGTTACAAGTGATGGGACAAGAGGTAATGGCCTCAAGTTGCACCAGGGGAGGTTTAGATTGGATGTTAGGAAGAATTTCTTCACCAAAAGGGTTATCAGGCATTGGAACGGGCTGCCCAAGGCAGTGGTGGAGTCACCATCCCTGGAGGTATTTAAGAGTCATACAGATATTGTACTTAGGGATGTGGTTTAGTGAAGGACTTGTCAGTGTTAGGTTATCGGTCAGACTCAATGATCTTGAAGGTCTTTTCCAATCAAGGTGATGCTGTGGTATGTTCCAGCATGGGGTCCTCCATGGGTTGCAGGGCAGATGCCTGCACCATCATGGTCTTCACCTGGGGAATCTCTGCTACAGCACCTGGAACACTTCATTCCCCTCCTTCCTCACTGACCTTGGTGTCCGCATAGTAATTTCTCTCACATTTTCTCACTCCTCTCTCCCAGCTGCAGTTGTGCAGCAGTTTTTACCCTGTCTTAAATATGTTATCAACACAGAGAAGGTTTAATTCACGGGGTACCTGATACGCAGGCTGAAAACAGATAAACTTTTACATTCAAATGTAACTCTCCCTGTAAAGCTTAGCAGATATATTAATAAAAACTCTATGAACATAATGCAATATAGGAGTTCAGAAGACTATTTCTTTTTGTACTCTGGTCTTCTGTGGTTTGGGGAAGAGGAAAAGTCAGCACAGCTCACAGAAAATACAGTCTAGAGGCAAAGTGAGACAATCAGTATTGCCTGGAAGTATAAAATAGAAAAAACAATTGATGGCATCCAAGGCAAAAAAGTCAACACTTTTTTCCTTCACAATTAAGCTTCTCACTCCAAAAATGTAGCATTTGGGAGATGTCATGAGACACTTATAGTAGTTGCTTGCTTATCAAAGTTAACTCCTTAATTTTAAAACGAGAAAAACATTACATGTGATTGAGGTAGCAGGTACATACTGTATGTGTCTATACCGATTTTTTGCAGAGTTCCCAAAGACTTTGAAAAGGAGTTGCACATGATGCTGTTCAAAGGAAAGGGTACTGAGGATCCAAACACTGCTGAGTAGGCTTTGTACATGTTGACAAATTTTTGCTTTCAGCTCAGTGAGGCAAGTATCTTTATCATCCATTTTCAGGACTGAAGTACCACCATGTCTAAATTTTTTTCACAGACCAAGACTAAACCAGTAGAGATGATGTTTCTGAGAGATACATTTTTGATACTCCATGAAACAACCATGAAATCCAAAATAATTGAGCTGCCAGATGTGGAAAATGAACTCAGCATGTTTGTTCTCCTGCCAGATGACATCAACAGTAACACCACCAGTCTGGAGCTGGTAAAACTGACCTACTGCTGCATCACACACCGTATGAGACAGTGACAGGAACAGATGAAAAGAGTGAGGAAGAACGAAGTTCAAAATCACAGTAGAATGGGTTCTGCTGTGTGCATACATTTTTCGATAAACTATAACACCGTGATTTCTCAGTTTAGTATTCAGGGCATCTGATAACATTCCAAACATAGTATTTACTGAGGGATACACCTAAAAAGACACAAATGTCTTAGCCTGATTGGTGTCCCTTTTTCTATTGCTAGAATAGTACAAGGGAAGCAAGGACCAAATCTGAATCATTGTGCCCTGGAGCCATCTCCTTCTGAGGGCTGTGTTAATGTATTTTTATGTCATTTATATCATTTGCATCTGCTATTTTGTGGTGAGATTTCTGAAAGTAAGTGCTGACCCTGACCCAGAATATATCAACAGCCATGCATGACCATGCCAGGATCAGTTTCAGATTCTAAACAGATCAGGGCAAATATCTTTTTATTTGTCCCTGGGGTGTCATGTATTCCATTGATTTACCACTACTAGGAGAAAAGTCATACATAGAGCAGGTGACTATTAATATAATTATGAATCACACATTAAAAACTAGCAATACTCTTCACAACAGAAAAAAAATATAAAATAACTACTCAAACAGTTCCAGACTATACCTCACCACTTTTAAGGAGAGTTAAAACCACTGACAGTCTGATCTCCCTCCCTGCAGGCTGAGGGCTGACCTGTGAGATACTGGCTTAATGGACCAAATCAACCAGCATGATGAAAGCTGAAGT